ATTTGTAAATAAAAAATTTATATTAATATAATTTAACATACTAAAATTTACTAAATTTATTTATTATTTTTAAAAATTAAAAAAAAATAATGATAAAATAGAACTAAATATAATATATAACTAGAGTTTAGGCGGGATTCCCAGTATTTTCCTTTATATTTTACATTATTGCAATATATATCACCAAAACTAAAATATAAATTTAATATATAACATAAAACTTATTGAAATATTCAAAAATCAATTTGAAATCAATAAATTTAGTCATACTATTTAAGAATACAACTTAAAATACAGTTAATATAACAATTATTTAATAAACGTTATAATCAAATTTGTAGTTTATGGTTCAATAGATGATATCACAATGAATTTAGTTCCCTGGAAATTCCCAGGGATTAGGGGAAATAGGGAATTTATGGGAAGGAAACGAGGAAGGAAATTTACTCGAACCCTATTTATAACTAATTTATTTTATACAGTATTGTAGATATTGAATAATAAACAGTGTGACATCTATTAAGTTAATGTTTTACTACAACAAAATTTAAAAATTGATATATAAGTTTAATTATTATACATTATAGGAAAATACAATAAATTGCATAATTTGTATTAATTAAAATTTGATATAAAATAATATTCTAGATATAACTACATTTAAACTCATGTTTTAAAAAATAATAAATAGTTAGTTATAACTAATACTAAAATTGATGGTCTATTTAGAGCACTGGCAGAAAAACTTGTCATCTGAGCAGTCATTGGTCATCACATTATACATTGAGTTCTCCATAACGGGTAAGTTATTTGAGGGAAGATTAAAGCAATTACAGCCAACAAACTTGAGATGTCGTTTAGTACAGAATTGGGCGCATTTGACAAAATCACATTCAGAGCACTCACACAATCGGTTCAAACGGAATATTCTGGTCGAACAGTCCGACCGATTGTATCCCTGAGCGGCACAAAACTCCTTACACTCGTCATTAAACGTACATTTCTGCAACGGAATTCCCATTACTGGCCATCCAATGGACAAATAGTATCCATAAGTTATTATATTTTTTTGAAAACATTTTCAAAAATATAATTTATTTATAACATTAAAATACATAATATAATTAATTATATAATAGAATAAAAAATTATTTGATACTACCTATTATTAAAAAATTAATTAGTTGTGCCGTAATTATAATTATAGAAATTTTTGACAGCATTTTTTAAAATATCAAAATGCAATCTATTGTTGAAATAAAAATACAATTGAATATAATATACTAATTCAGTACACTATTGTAAACTATATATCAATACATTACAATTGTTATGCAGTGTTTTAAATAAAAACAAATATTATTGCAATAAATTTTTGCTTTTTTAAACCTTTTGTGTCAAATAATTGAATTAAAGTCAAAGTATTATTTTTTATTATTTTTGTAAAATATTATTTTATTGTCCAAATGTTTGCGACACTAAATTTAATTTTGTGTCATTTCTATTGAGATCATATTTGCTTAGGTATATACACAAATACATAGTGTATATATAACTTATATTCATTTATTATACTTTATATTCAATTCAATTTGATTTTTCGAGTATTGTTTAAATAAATAAACAATATAAAAAAGTAATCATAATAATAGCTGTTTTATAATGTCTTTTTCCGTATATATTTATAAGCAAACAATAGAAATTTAAATGTGAAAAATATGATTGTTATTATTTAGAAGTATAGATATTAAAATGCCATTGAAATTGTTTATACTATTATTTATACAATACCTGTCGGGACAATGATCGGGACACTAATGTTTGTGTGGAGAGAAACAACAAAATTATAAACATTTTAATGACAATGACTTTACTCTTTTATAAAGCTCTCTCTCTCTCTCTCTCTCTCTCTCTCTCTCCTCATTCAGTTCATAATTACACAGTTGGTGTGATCACCTCATGTGTGGTCTCTCCCGAGATATGATTGTCCTCTAAAATTATAATAATTATATAGTTATTTAAGTAGATTTTCATGAAAACACTATTTATTGGCAAATACTTAAAATCACAACTATTTTCACATTTTTTACTGTTTAGTCGCATCACTGAATTTTTCATATGTGAAACAAATATTTGATTAAATAACTATAATTGTGTAAAAATTGTTTTAGTATATTTTTAATATAATAAATTATACATATTTAATTCTTCCAATAAGCTTTAATTAAAATATATTTTTAATTAATTAATTAAAATATATTTATCATTTATTTGTTAGTAATATGATAAATATTAAGATGTGTTTCATAAATCATATGTAATGTAACTTTTTAAAATACAAAAAAATGTAAAATATAAATTAATATATTTATTATTAATTTGTCATTAAAATTACTTTATATTTAATTGATATTTCAATGATTTCAGTAATACATTGTAAATGAAAATTATCAGTTAAGTTAAATAAGTATACAATAGTTTTATATGTATTATATATGATAACTCAAGATTATTTATACACTTAAAAATGTTTTTTAAAAAATGAATATAAAATTAATTACAATTATATAGTATTTAATGAATATTGTTTTTAATAATTACTAAGTTTTAATTTGTCTAAAGTAATGTTAATCTTTTTTATTTAAAATTGCATACAAATGTTAAACTAAAAATACTGTCTAAACATAAGTTAATTAAATAATTACATTTAAAAACAACAATCGTATGCTTGAAATAAAAAAGCAATAATTTGTGTTAAATATAATATAAAAGTTTATATTTTAATATTCTTTTTAAATATTTTATTTACATATCAAATAATGCTTTATTCTATCTTAATTATAATTATCAGATTTATTTATTTATTAAAATAATGACAGTCAATGACACCAAAAATTATATTTAATCAAATAATATTAGTTTAATTTATTGGATTTGTAATTAAATAAAGTAAATATGATTTGTTTGTGACACCAAAAAATAACTGTATCTTTAAGGTTGTCAAATAATATATCACTGATCCTCAGGATTAAACGATAATATAATATAAATGTAATATATATTAATACATTGAATTACAAAAATGAAATATAATAATACATAATACATAATGGTATAATATTATTATGTATTTAATACTATTGAAACATTTTTCTTTAGTAGTAACTATCATTTTATCTAACTTTTATTGTATTAATTTGTTTATTTATATCATTTTCTAATATGATCATGTTACAATTGGTCTATTTCAGTAATCAATATCTAATCGTATAATTCATGTTTTATCTAATTACAGATTATTTATATCTAAATATAATTAATTTTTAAAATATTTATTATTATATTATCAATGGATATCATATTACATTTCAATGTGGATTTATTAAAGTAGATTATTTTAATTCATATAAAAATTATATTATATTTTAATAAAAATTGTAAGTTTGACTTACTTTTTACATCACTTAAAAACTTTAAAAATCTTAATAAATATTATATTATATTTTAATTTATTTAAATCTAAAGATTGAAATATTTTAAAAAATATAATAATTGCATTATTTATTAGAAAATATGTCATTTTTCAAGTGTAGTACTGTACTATTACAACATCAAAAATAATTAACATTAATATTGTTGTATTATTTTTCAGGAAAAGGTGACAATAATTTTCAAATATTTATCAATCCTATGTTGTATTATTGAATAAGGAAACAAATAAAGGATGTTAATAAACAAATATATGTTACATATTTTTATTTAAAAATTATTAAATACTTTAATAAAGATTATAGCATTTGAAAATATTTAATGCAATAATAAAAACAATGCAATTATTGTGATGTTATAAGTTAAACTAGTCTATTATTTACAAATTGTAACTTACAATATAATAACTAGTTTTATCAAAATTAGCAATCGTTAAAAAAGTGGTGTATTATGTTTTAAAAAATATATGATTATCAACCTTGAACATTTTTTGACGTGTGATAAATACACTAATGCATGCATTACTTCAATACTGTATATTAATATTTATATATTGTATAAACTGTATATATAATTTATATATAAATCACTTAAAGTTATTGTGACTTTTTTTAAGTCTAGTAAACGTGTGATTATGTTTTTTAACATAATAGCACGTTTACTAGACTTAAATTATTTATATATTTTTTTAAATATTCATTTATTATTATATTTTATTATTAAGTAGTTAGTAGTTAGTAGTTTACAGTCAATTATTATAAAGATAACTACGAGTATATATTTTGACAATTAATTACATTAATTTATTTTCTTTCTTTTTTTTGTTTAAAGAGTTAATGATCAAACATTATAAGTTGAATTCAAGCGACTTATTAATTGGTAAGCATTTCATAAATTTCACAAAAAAGACATTTTATTTCATATTAAATATTACTATCTTTTTTTTGACTTATTGATTATACGATAATTTAAACATACAGTATAACATATTTCCTATTATTTTATTTAATATAATTAATATCTTATCAATAAATTGATGGAACATTACCATCAAGGGGTGGACTCTGGGGTTTATATTTATATACTTTTCATAACTTTGTTTTTACTAATTTAATTTATATTTAAATATTATTTAAATGAAGAACTTATTATTCTATAATAATAATAATAATAATAATAATAATAATAATAATAATAATAATAATAATAGTGTACTAAAACTTTAATAAATATTTTTAAAAACAGTTTCTACAATGTTTAACAAATCAATGATTGATTGGCAAAAGTATTTAAAAGCAAAACTAATTGATAAACATTAACAGTATTGGTATTATCAATGAAGTTTGAAGTCATATGAGTTTATCATCACTTCGTTTTTCAAACGAGTGTCTTAACATAACAATTGGATTTAATAAATCATTAATCATTATTGAGTTAATTATTTAAAGTAAAATTTATTTTCAATGATTTGAATGATTTGTTTTTTATTTTGTTACAATTGTTTTAATTGATTCAAAAATCAACAATTGATAACTTTAAGAAAAACGTTATGAATATCTTTTTAAAGTTTTTGTTAATTTATTTGCCATATGTTATAATATATGGTAGCATTGTATCGGTTAACTCATTTAATTTGTCATTAATTCATATCAATGATCTTCACTCACACTTTGCACCGGTAAATGTGTGGAGTAGTCCTTGCGATGAAAAGTCTATAAAATCTGGGAAATGTTTTGGTGGTATCGCCCGCATTGCCGCAGAGGTATAGTTGTATAAATCTTTATAAATTTTTACATCAAATTATTTAAAGATGTCATAAAACTTTAGGTAAAAAAACTGCGTGAAAGTCATAAAAACTCATTGTTTCTCAACGCTGGCGATAGCTTTCAGGGAACCGTTTGGTACTCATTGTATAAATCAAGTATTGTTTCCCATTTCACTAATTTACTCAAATATGATGCCATGACTGTCGGTAATCACGAGTTTGACGACGGAATAGAAGGTTATTATCCTTTTCTGGACGACACAAGACATCTGATCCCAACTGTTTGCTGTAATATCGATGTGTCAGATGAGCCGCGACTTAATGGCAAAATTAAAAAGTCAATTATTCTGGAAGTAGATGAACACAAAATCGGGATTATTGGGTATTAATATATTTTTTATTATGTTATATTAACAAACAGACATTTATAACTAATTTATAGCTAATTTTTGTAGTCATAATTTATAAATATCAGTACAATAATTAAAATGACCAATAATTATATATCTACATATGTATATATATATATATATATTAATCATATGTATAATAATAATAATAATAATAATAATTTACAGATACTTAACCCCTGAAACCAGTTTTCTGTCAAATCCGGGCAAAACAATTAAATTTGTCGACGAAATTGAAAGTATTAGGAAAGAAGTAAAACATTTGCAAAGTTTAGGGATTAAGATAATCATCGGTTTGGGTCACTCAGGGTTTGTTAGGGACGTAGAAATTGCTCAGAATGTGCCCGAACTCGATGTCATAGTCGGCGGACACTCCCATACATTGCTATATTCAGGTGAAAAACCTTCCGTCGAGGACGTGGTCGACAAATATCCGACTGTTGTAAACCATGGCTCGCATCAGACTATTATTCTTCAGGCCTACGCTAACGGCAAATATTTAGGTTTAATTAATTTAGAGTTTGACTCCGACGGTAATATAACCCGATTTGATGGACAGCCCATACTATTAGATAACAAATATGCTGAAGGTATTTGTTACGCCAGTTATAATTTACTTGTATTGACATTTATTTTATGATTGCTTTCATTAGATCCAATTATAGCGCAAGAAATTAATGGTTATGACAAACAAATACGTGAAAAATATGGAGAAGTAATCGGAAAGAGTAATGTTTTGCTTGAGGGCGGCTACAAGTGTGAGGTAGAAGAGTGTAATTTAGGTAATCTTATTACCGAAGCAATGGTTGTCTATTACATGAAGAACAGGCAGCAAACGGGCAACGGATGGACTGATGTGGCCGTTTCCGTCACCAATGGAGGTGGCATTCGGGCCACAATCGACACGTCGACCACTGGCGGCAACATTACATTAGAGCACTTAATCACAACATTACCCTTCAGTAATAATATGATGATTCTTGAAATACCTGGTAATTGACATTTAATGAATATTTCATTTATTTTCAAAATTATTTATATTATTTAAACTTTTAGGACAATTATTAAAAGAGATGTTAGAGTATAGTGTCTCCCGATATGACATATGGGGCGGCGGAAAGTTTCTACAGTTTTCTGGTTTGCGAGTCGTTTACAATCTAACAAAATCCGATTACAACAAAGTGGACACTCTGTCTGTCCGCTGCTCCGATTGTAATGTTCCCGAGTTTAGGCCACTCAATGAAACTATGATTTACAAAGTGATTGTTCCTAAATATATAGCCGACGGAGGAGACGGCTATCAAATGCTCAAAAGTCGTGATATTAAACGTATTACTAGTGAAGCCCTCGACTATGAAATTGTTTCTCAATATTTGAAGGAAACTTCAGTTATTTATACCGGAGTTGACGACAGAATTCAATTAATTCATTAATTTAAAGACAAGAGTTTTGGCTATTTTTATAAATAAAAATAATTTATTAACTCTTTGTTTATAATATTTTTTGTAACTTATCTTAAAGTATTATAGTTTGTTGTATTTTTATACTATTTTTATATACAGAACTAACTTATTGTTGAATTTTATTTAATTTATAAAATTATACTCAATTTATAAGTTAATATTTTATTATTAAAAAAATAACACTTTAAAATATAAGTCAAATTTTTACATTATTTAATACTGTTGTACCGTTTTATAAATACTGTATTATACTGTATCTATCATATCATAATTTATCAAGGACATATTCAAGGATATTCATGTTTTTATTAAAATAATGCAAACATATTAATATAAAAGTCTACTTAATCGACAAAAACTGTATTTTGATAATATAAATATAAACAAATTGATTATTAAAACATTTTAAACGATAAACAGTTGCTATTACTTAATTGTGTTAATTAATTGTTGTTTTAAATCAAAATTACAATTGTAATGTTAATTAAAAATGTTTATAATTAAAAATAATTTATTATTAAAACGATTACAACTTTGTCAACAAATTAAGACAATTAACAGAAAATTAACAAACAATACAAAGAACGAGATTCTTGTAAAAAGACTTCAATCAGTTTGTGGTGACAATAATGTGTCGACAAATGTCTCGGTTCGGGAACAACACGGAAAAGATGAGGGATTTTATCCCACAATACCTCCCGATGTTGTAGTGTTTGTATCCAACACACAACACGTCAGTGATGTCCACAAAATTTGCTATGAAATGAATGCACCGATTATTCCGTACGGATCGGGAACGGGACTCGAGGGTGGAGTTAATGCCATCAATGGAGGCGTTTGTATTGATTTAAAAAATATGAATAAAGTTATTGAAGTTAATAAAGAAGACTTTGATTGTGTGGTTGAGGCCGGCATTGATTGGCGTTCACTAAATGAATATCTACGAGACACCGGTCTGTTTTTCCCAATAGATCCCGGTGCCAGTGCATCCATTGGTGGAATGGCAGCTACATGTGCATCGGGAACTAATGCCGTGTTGTATGGTACAATGAAAGAGAATATACTTAACCTTGAAGTGGTTCTACCAAATGGTGATATAATTAACACGAGTGGACGTAAATGTCGGTCTCGCAAATCATCGGCCGGTTATGACTTGACTTCATTGTTCATTGGAAGTGAGGGAACGTTGGGAACCATAACACACATAAGTCTGCGATTAAGCGCTGCACCCGATTGTGTTGCCGCAGTTGTCTGTAGTTTTCCGGATGACAAAGTGGCCATTAATTCAGTCATTGAAATACTTCAATCAAACATATCTGTGGCTAGAGTTGAGTATTTGGACGACGTATCCATCAAAGCGTGTCGTTCTTATAGTAAAGTATCACTTCAAGAGACGCCGACACTGTTTCTCGAGTTTAACGGTTCCAACGACGATGAGGTTAATCAAAGAATAGCTATGGTTCGCGATATTGTTGTGTCAAACGGTGGATCAAACTTTAATTGCTCTACAGATGCTGAAGAAAGAAAAAAATTATGGAAAGCAAGACATGAATTGTATTACGCCGTCAAAGCTATGAAACCTAACTCTACGGCCATTATTACCGATGTTTGTGTTCCCATCTCAAGACTTACTGAAATGATTGTACGCACAAAACAATTGATAGCAAGTAATGAAGTGACGGGTCCTATGTTTGGTCACGTCGGTGACGGCAACTTTCATACTGTTATTGTGTTTGATCCCAATGATAGTCAAGAGTTAGCGCGTGTCAAGTCTACGGCTTATACTATGGGTGAGATTGCACTGGAGTTGGGCGGCACCTGTACTGGTGAACATGGGATCGGTAGAGGAAAAGTGCAACTTATGAGACAACAATATGATTCTGTAGCCATCGATCTCATGAAACGTTTGAGAGCAACCATTGATCCCAAAGATTTAATGAATCCACAAAAACTTTTTTAATTTACTTTTATTTTTTATATAATTAATAATATATACTAACAAATCATTCACTAGTTGTTAATTCAATTGAAAACTTTGTGTTTCATTTAGCAAATTATTAGCTAATGTGTTGTGCCATTTAACGGGCGATTTTATGGCCGCCACTGTAAGGACACGATTGAATAGATCTCTTTGTGCATTACTTCCACCCATACATTGTGTGGTATATCTAACATCCAGAAGCAAATCAACACATTTTTGATAGTTTTGTCGATAAAACTCAATCAATGCATTCACTATAGTACGTGTCGTTGTCAACCACTGTTCATTACTTTCATAATCTTTAATTTTGATCATAAACTGCTCGACACTGTCCTCGTGTTTAGAGCCCAGACATGCAATCAGAAAGTGAATGTCAAAGAATCCCAATCTATACGGTTTGTCTAAATTTGGTTTCGTTATACTATATACCTCTTGCCATCGTTTATCATTAACAACACTACAATTTGAATCAATTAGATCCAATCGTAGCAGTAATTGTGAGGCATCAGTAATGTTACCGAAGCGCCCACTGGAAGCCCTTTTCAAGATTTCACTGTCAAATATATCAACAGCTCTGTCAAAGTCTTGTTGTTCAATATAATGAAGTGCCAAATGCCAGTAGTTATGACACGAAAGATAATTAGCTTTAGTCCACTTGTTTTCCCTATCTTTTAAAAACTTAATACCGGTGTCACTCATACCACAGGTCTCATGAATGTGAGACATGGCATGTGTGGCCCATCCGTCGCAGTCATTCATACTGAGTGCCAACTCTGCCTCAATCTTTGCTTTTGACATTATATTTGTCTCTTCCAATGCAAACGCATACATCCCGTGAACATAACCTTCCATTGGTATCGACCTGTGCTTCCAATGTGGTAATACCCGTGCAATTGAGTCTCGCATTTGATTTTGCAATCCGTTCTCAAAGTATAATACATGAGATAAACGAATGGCGTGAATATCAGTCGGCCATTCCGTTAGTATCTCTTCGAAGACATTTAAGGCACTCTTTATATTCAGATCAGCCAAATGTTGAATAGCTTTTACGTGCAATTCTTCGCGTTTATTATAATTTATTTTATTATTATCCATGAGATCAACCAAATGATTGACTTTTTCTTTTAGTTGATGACTAGTATTGACATTAATACTACTTAATTCCATACCTAATGTCAAACATTGTCCCAAAACAAAGTTGGGATCACTTGCAGTCATATCTGCCATTGTCTTCATAAACCCTCCATATTGTTGGTCATCGTAAAGCCCACACAATTGGTTTAGTGTACAGTCGTATAGTTTGGATGTTTGATCGCATGTAGAGCTCATAAATGACAACTTCTGGTCTCTCCAATCGGCACAACCTCTCAATTGATATTTAAGCATTTTTTAAATAAATTTTATTGCTTGCTATATACAGTATAATTAAAGTTATATTATATTATATAGTTATTCATTGAAATCAAACTAATAAAAGAAGAATAAAAATATCAATTTTTCAAATCATTTATATACCAACTTTTAAACTATAAAAAGGTGTGACTTTAATCTATACAACCAATAATATTAACAGTTTTAGCTTAACTAATATTAAATTATCGATTGCATAAATATATGAATTTTATGAAATAGTCATTAATTACATAATTAATGAGAGTCTTAAACAGCGGTGGCGGCAATGATAGTGACGATGCTATTAATTTCAATTATACGGTCAACAATACGTTGAATTTAAAAGTGACCAAGGGCAATGTTGTAGGTAATTTAGAACTGATTAATATTGTAATTGGTCATTTTTTTAATTAATTATATAATTTATCAGATAATTTACAGTCTACTGTTAAAATTTAAAAAAATAATAGTCGGCTGTAATTATCTGGCTAATCGTACAATTAATTAAAAAATAAACAATTACAATGTTATTTAGTTTAAAATGATCTATAACTTTACTATTGGGCACTTTTAAAGTTAATGTATGGTCGACCAGTTAAATGTAATTAATAGCATCTCCACTATCATTGCCGCCGCTGTTGTTTAAGACTATCTTTTTGATTAACGTTAATCAATGAATCCTTAACCACATTACACACACACAAACAAAAGGGTCGATACAGTTGTCGCTACAAATGCATGTAAATCATTGATATAGTAATTAAATTATTATTTATGTTGAAGTTGTATTGATTCAATTTATACAGTATAGTACACTTAGGTTAATGTATTGGTAAAATTAAATGTATTGAAACTAAAATTGCTCATGGTCACAACCATACCAAGCATATTTCAATTGATTGTCTACTAATAATGTGATTACAAATTATCTTTATACTATATTTTTTAATTACCTTATATATATATTATAAAATGTTATAACAAATTAATATACAGTATTATAATAAAAAATAAACAATAAAATATAGTTATTGACTTTGTTATTAATTATGATAAATTATATAATTTATTGTATTTACTGTATACTAATAGTAATAATGCAATGCTTGAATATGTATAGAGAATTTTTACTTACTTCAATTAATTTAATTGATATACAATAACATAAATACAGTACAATAAATTCAGTTTTAATAATATTTTAATTTTTAGTTACAATATTTAAATAACAATCTCTAAAAGTAAAATAATAATAATTTCTAATATTTTTAATAATTTTAGTTTTCATTTTCGTTATTATAATAGGAGTAATCTATACTACTATATAATTTGTTCAATGTTTGTATCAAATTTGTGTGACGCAAACAATTACTTTTAATGTGTCGCGCGATTATTAATAATTTTAATTTATTAAATAAAAAATTAATAAATAAAATATACTTTTGATAATAAATTGTAAGCGCGTAAGTATTGTTGCACGTGTTAACTATTGATACACATTTTATTACGTGGAGATCTAACTAATACAGTATATTAATAATTTGTTTTACTAATTATTGTTTATTCATCTGTAAATTATAATAAAATTTTAGTACAGTATTGATAAAGACTATTAATATTTAATACAAAAAAAAAATAGTTTTGACATAATTTCTAGTCCTCAGAGATATCAATAATTTTTTGTGGATTCATTAAATTTTTGGGATCAATTGTTTTCTTTAATTGTTTCATTAATGTTATGGTATTTTTATCAAATTGTCTGTTAACCATATGAACCTTACCTCTTCCAACCCCGTGCTCACCAGTACAGGTGCCGCTCAACTCCAATGCCATATCACAGATATAATTAGCCGCAGACTTAGCCCGACTCACTTCATCTTTATTTTGTGGATCAAAAAAAATATCGGTATGAAAGTTACCATCGCCTACGTGTCCAACTATAGGTGCTGTCAATCTGTACTGATTAAGCAATTGTCTTGTTTTAAGTATGATTTGAGTTAGTCTTGAAATGGGTACACAAACGTCTGTAATGATAGCACTGGCATTTGGATTGATTTGTTTGAAAGCGTAATGAACTTCATGTCTTGCTTTCCACAGTTTTTTTCTTTCTTCACTATTTGTCGACGACTTGAAGTTTGTGCTGCCATTAGAAGTGACAATATTTTCCACTATTAATGATTGTTGTGTCACTTGATTAGGTGTCGACCCAATTAACTCTACAAATATTGTTGGACTGTCCGGTAAATCTATTTTACTATAATCACGACACGCCTGCAGACCAATTGAATCCATGAACTCAATTCTAGCGACAGGAATACCTGATTGAAGAATTTCAATGACTGAATGAATGGCCGATTTTTCGTCGGGAAAACTACAGACACCCGCAGAAACACAAATAGGATTTACGCTAAGTTTAAGACAAATTTTAGTGATTGTACCAAAAGTTCCTTCACTACCGACAAAAAATGACGTCAAGTTATAACCGGCCGATGATTTGCGAGACCGACATTTGCGTCCACTCGTGTTAATTATATCACCATTTGGTAGAACCACTTCCAGATTTAGTATATTTTTCTTCATTGTTCCAAAATAAACTGCATTAGTTCCCGATGCACATGTAGCTGCCATTCCACCAATGGATGCACTGGCACCGGGATCTATTGGGAAAAACAGACCGGTGTCTCGTAGATATTCATTTAGTGAACGCCAATCAATGCCGGCCTCAACCACACAATCAAAGTCTTCTTTATTAACTTCAATAACTTTATTCATATTTTTTAAATCAATACAAACGCCTCCATTGATGGCATTAACTCCACCCTCGAGTCCCGTTCCCGATCCGTACGGAATAATCGGTGCATTCATTTCATAGCAAATTTTGTGGACATCACTGACGTGTTGTGTGTTGGATACAAACACTACAACATCGGGAGGTATTGTGGGATAAAATCCCTCATCTTTTCCGTGTTGTTCCCGAACCGAGACATTTGTCGACACATTATTGTCACCACAAACTGATTGAAGTCTTTTTACAAGAATCTCATTTTTTGTATAATTTGAAATTTTGTTGATTGAATAATATTTTAAATTAAAAAAATTTGTAAATAATTTATTTTTATACATTATTGGTTACATTACATTAGCATTATTTTATTACTTCATGATATTTATTATTTCTTAATTTTAATAGAGATATCTTTTATTTTTTACTGATAAGAATAAGATAATTAAAACATAAACATTACTATAATATTTAAATAACAAAATTTTAATAAACAATCTTTCAATTTTATATAGCATTTAAATAGACATTTCAATTATCATGATATAAATAATTTCTTAATATTATTATATTTTTTAATAATATTAATTTAATTTTATAATGAATTCTGTAGTGAAAATAAGTAAAATATATATTGATTTTGAAATAGAATCGAGTTTTCAATATTAATCAATGATTTTTATTTATACAATCATTTTTATATTATCATTAAACATCGTATTAAATAAATATGAATAACATTTTTAAATTAGTGGTAGAAAAAAATTTTTGACAAAAATTTTTAAAAATCATTTATTTACTGTATTTTAAATTTATTAATAAAAGCTATAATAATTTTACATTTAATTTTAATTAAAATCTTTTATTTTAACAACACAATCAGATTTCTATATTACAATTTTAGTTTATAAAAATATATTTATAATCATAAATCATATAAACAACACATTGAAATGACTATTTATAAAAAAATATTAACTTTTTTCCAAATTAAATAAATTACATTAAAATTTGTTAAAAAATTAATTGAAAATATTAATTGTTAAAAACAGTTATTTGAATTTTTTTATAATAATCTATAAAATGAGAAATCTATATATGTAACAATCAATACTATTGTATTAATATATTATACTTTAGCAATACCGATGACAGCACAAGCTACCCGTCCCCCAGCATTACCAGTTTTTTTACTTTCCGACTCCTTATCTCCCGTTCCTTTTCCGAGATCATCTGCCATAGCGTGAAAAACAACGGCTCGTCCAATGATTGAGTTTTGACCGCTCAGTTTGATTTGAGTGTCATTCAAAGCCATCACAACTTTGCCGTCATTATCGGCCACAATATTGCCTAAGTCTCCCACATGTCTCATTGAATCGGTAGGCGCTCCGTGAGTATAGTTATTGGTGTTGAAATGCGATCCGGTACTCATACAGCCATTGCTGAGATCACCAAATTGGTGGACATGGAAACCATGATTACCGCTGGGCACCAAACCAGTCACATTAATTCTGACCGTAACCACTGACCCGTCGGCCGATTGTTGGAAACAAACCAAACCATTCACTGTATTCGACTTTATTACGGCTATACCTTTAGGCACATATTGATCATCACTTCTAGTATTATCAATCATTGACATTAATGACATCGACATCAATAAGATTACTAATTTAACTGATGACTGCATTGTATATTTGAGAGATTTGCAAATCTATAATTTAAATAATAATTATTAATAATATTGTTTTAGTTTTTCTGTTAAAATTCAATAGAAAACAATTTATAACTTTGTGATACTATTTTCTCAGCTATTTATACTATAATATTTGGATATTTTATTTATACAACTAAAATAGCATATCATTAAACTACAGTACAGTACAGTACCTAAGTAAATTATCAACTTTAAGCGATTATAAATATTTTTATAATTAGTTTATCATGAGTTGTATATATTTCTACTAAGTTTTCACATTTACATTAGTCCAGTATATAATTTTAATAAAATGTTAATACATGTCAATAGAATGCTTGAATAAAATGTATATTCATTGACTTTTAATACAAACGGTTTAAAAACACATTTATAACTAAATTATCATATTTTCATATAATAATGAATTATCATTTAATGAAAGATTATCTCAAAATTAAGGTTTACTCTCAATAGAGTAGATTAAAATTTATATTTGTTTAACCTATTAATGTTATATGTTTAATCAATAATATTTTATATAAATTTAGTAATATAAGTAAATAAATATTTTACTTATTTAGATAACAAAAGACTATATTGAGTTAAATTTTTAAAAATTATTTAACAAATCTCACTCAGATCTCAATATAATTTATTAATAATATAAATTTTACATATATTTTAAATATTTAATAATGTTTGTTTATCACTTACTTTTAAATAAAAATTGTAATATTGAATATTAACAGAAATTATTAAAATTAATAATAGATCAGAATTTATTTTAAAATATAATTTTAGTTAAATTTTATGTTATATTTAATAGAAATTTTATGGTTTATCTTAAACTTTAAAAATTATAACTACATTTTTAGTGCATTAAAAATTATACATTTTGTTTATAATATACACAATAAGACAAATTGTTATGGAAACATGACATTAACCATATTTATTATATAAAAAATAATTATATTAATAGAGATTTTTTAAAAGAACATAATACGGGTTCTCATAATTCAATATTTAATAAAAATATGTTTTTAATGATAATTAATTAATACTTTATTTAAATCATATAAATTATAGTCTATAGTGTTAGTAATTTTTACTATTGTTAGCACTGCTGCATATAATAAATGCTTTATATTATAACATTCATATTTTTGTAATCTGTATTAAATTATTAATTTTGAATAAAATTATTACCAAATTATATGATATTATAAATTATATTCAAATTATTTAAATAATATGTTAAATAATGAATCAAAAATAATTAATAAATTAAATTCTGAGAGTCGATACCGTATGATAAGTGAGTGAATTGTATGTAACGTTAATAGACTTATATTTCTGTTATTATTATCAATAATATAAACTTTGAGATCTTGAAGATAGACTGCAACCACAGTATATCTACAAAATAACTGACGCATGGGTTGTATGGATTGTCTAGTTTTGATGAACCATATGTTGTTGTTGTGAGCAATACAAGTGATGGCAATTAAGTATTAGATTTTAGTTTAAAAATAGGAAAACTTTACTATAATAAGCACTTCAGTCAAATAAAGTACTGTTTGTTTGTTAGGAAAATCGGTGCAAACTTTCCGGTTTTCTCCAAACACTATACACTGTTGTACTGAATATAACTAATGTGTTTCTCCATTATAATTGGGAATATTATAAGGAAATGTTGGGCGTAGAGTATATACATGTATAATATATTTTGTATATTAATTTATATACAGTATAATTTTGACATTAACTTAAGTTTTTATTATTGTAGAATATATTATTTGAAAATATGTCTGAATAGATTGACCATGATCATTTAGTAATTTAATTATCATTATAATGTCATTTAATAATTTTGTAAATACCATCAGAAACTATGAGTTTAAATACATTCAAATTGATATAAACAGTGAATTTTGTCGGAGTAAATGTGGAATTTTAAGAGCTATTCAAATAGTAATCAAATATATATTTTTTTAAAATTTATGTAAAATTACTTATTTTTTAAAATATTAATTAAATCTATTGTTAAATAGCTGTTTGGTTTGATATGTTTCCTAACAATTTTGATCACTTGTTATAACAACTATGATCCGTACAGCGGGTCATACATGGGGTTTGTGGGAGGAAAGGCTGAAACGGCTTTCCTATTGATATCATGGTCTTCATTAATGTGGTCATCGATAACAATGTTGTGCTATATATTCTCAATACATTCGGCTAATAATATACCAAAAACACCTTTTGTATGAATAATTTAATTGAATTTTACTAAAATATTATTAATTTATTACCAAATACTATATTCAATGTTTTTTTTTGTATAGGAAATCACATTAAACTCATTTTCATTTTCATTATATTTGTTAATATCAGTGATATTATTGATTGAAGTGTCCACAAGAAATGCCGGTGATATCAATGGTTTAGTAGAGCCGGGATTTGTCGGTAAAATATTCGCTTCGGTAGGTATTTACACATTTTTTACTTAATAATATTGAAATAATTTTTTTAATTAATAGATATTTGGATTAATCAATACAATTATCTACGGCTTTAGTATATTTTATTTTTATAAGTTATACAAAACACTTTTGGATAATATTTAATCAAATGTTATTAATATAAATATATTTTATACAATTGTTATGCTATTTAATTTGAAATGTAGATAAATAATATATGATATCATATAAATTTAAACCAAGTTTTTTTTTAATTTGCTATAACATTGAATCTCCTATTTTTATATATACAGTAAATTACATCACAATCACATTTGTCTGAAATAAATAAAATAAACCAAATGTTAAAACAAATATTAAATACATTATTAAAGTTAACATTATTTATGTTTTCCAATAATCTATGAATCAATGATTTCAAAACAATGTTTACAATAATACTGTATTAGTATTGATATAAACATTGAATGAATGTTAACATTGGATGCAATGTTAAGCCATAATTAGGAGATAATCACTATCACCGACAAAGACATCGACCTCAACTGTCACTCATATGTTGGACAGTGATGTCGATATCAAACAGTTGTTTATATTCATGTTATCTGCGGTCAGATGTCAATCAATTTACGTACGAGTATTCAGTGGACAACATCCGCGAACGTAACCACAATCTCATAAAATCTTCGGTATTTCACGCGGAGGACAGTTCGTGGACAGTGATTGTGGCGCCGATTGTCAAGAATATCACCGATGGTTACGAGTATTTGGGATTATTCTTGAATCGCGAGTCCGGAGACAAAGCTCTTTGGGCTAAATATACGTTTGCTTTACTCAATGTGTCCACTGGTCAGAGGTTTAATGTCAAGACTGGATGTCATTTCTTTACTCATAGCAATAATATCACAACAAATAAATCCAATACTTCATTGATCACCAATAATGGCAATAATAGTCAAAGCAATACTAATACTTCTGCAGCACTTCGACAGCGAAGTTCAGACCAAAGATGGTCGCAATTCTTCAGTGCCGACAGTGTGGCTCTTAATTCTGGTCGGTATTGGAAGTGATGAACTCAACAAGTCTTTAATTTACTATTAACTACTGTTTTATTTATCCATTGATAGCACAAAATTACGATATCTTACGGTTTGAGTTTTCACCGCCACTTCCCGGACAGGCGTCTAATTCACTTCAGGGCTCCCGAACCGGTGATCCCAACCGAAGTCCGGTTCAACTTATTAATGGCAAGTCGTCTGGCATTAAGTCATTTATTACACGCGAAGCTCTCTTTAATCTAAGCAATCATTTGGTTGAAAATAATAAGATTACTGTTGTTTGCGATGTATAACACATTTGATACCAATTTTAATTAATTACTAATTATATATATTTTGTGTTGAATTTATTTAAAGATATATTTGTTTACAATTAATGATCCGTTGGAGACACTCGAGAGGTTTGATTTGAATCTATCAGAAAATTATTCCGATTTGTTGAAAGAGGGAAAGTATTCCGACGTCAAGCTTATAGTAGACGGAACTGAACTGCCGGCACATAAATCAATATTATCCGCCAGATCTCCGGTTTTTAACGCTATGTTTTCTTCGGATATGTCGGAAAATCGGGAGAATATTATCAGAATTGACGATTTGACTAAAGAAGTAATTGAAGAACTCTTAAACTTTATATACTCCGGTAAAGTAACCAATTTGTCGAAAGTATCGAAAGAGTTGTTGTCAGCCGCAGATAAGTATGAATTACCACAACTGAGTGATCTTTGCGAACAATATCTTACATCAAGTCTTAATGTGGAGTCAGCTCCTGAGATACTTGTGCTCTCACACCTACACAAAGCTGTCAAATTGAAATCAGTGTCGATTGAATTTATTATAAACAACCGCAAAGATGTAATGAAAAGTGAAAACTGGGAACTCATACGTCGTGAACCCGATCTTATGGAAGAACTATTTAAAGCACTGTCCAATCAATTCGACAAATTTGGGGTTTTTGTTAATTAACTATTTTCTTAAAATAACTTAATTTATTAGGTAATCATAGTTTATTAAATCAATTTTATGTATAATAATGTTATTATTATAGTATTATTATTAGACTATAGTATACTGTATTACGACTTTTTTGATATTATAAAAATAAAATGAAAAAATATACACAATTACCACAACTTATGTGTCACTGAAATGAGATTATTTCGAATAATTATCATTTATTAACTGTTAATTAAAAATTGACTAAATAAACCATATGTATTTTATCCAATGGTATTTATTTTTTATTAGTTATTATATTGAAATTATTTTATTGTGATATATAATATTTAATAATGTTAAATATCAATAAAAGCAGTTTACAATTTATTTTATTTTATTTAAATATTGGTAATTGTAAAAACAATAAATTACTAAATAAAAGAAATTGTTATTCATACTCAATATTTTAATTTTTAATATTTATTTTTAGTAAATTCAAGTGACTTATGTGAATACTATTGTAATCACAAAATGCATTGTTACGAAATGTGTTTATCATATTATCGGAAATATTACGACAATGAATATTACGATAATTTGAAGTCCTTTAGCTTAAACACCAATAACTTGAACGCACCCTTTTGTGGTCTCAATAAATACAATCCGCCGACTGTTATGCCGTACAGAGTTGACACAAATGGCATATATTTAGAACCCGATACCCGAAAACCCAATTTGAGAATAGTTGGCGGCTTTGAGACCACCAAATGGCAATACCCGTGGATCGTATCGCTTAATAAACTGGTTGCCGGAAAATATGTACACTTTTGTGGCGGTGCTATAATACATGACTATCACATACTAACGGCTGCCCATTGCGCTGATAAGTATAAATATTTTATAGCAATTGAAATAATTTGTAAAACAATTATTTAATTTAAGTTTTATAGGAAAAGAATCAAATCTATTGATAAAAATAGGATTTCATAATCTAAATAAATACGAAGGCATTACTATGAAAGTGGCAAAAATACTGATACACGAGGAATGGGATAGAGAGAGTAATATCAATGATATTGCAATCTATCGGACACAACAACCTATTCCTTACAAATTACAACCAAATTTACATAATTATCAAATTAATAGCATTTGTTTGCCTAAAAGTGATCACATTTATCCCAGTGCTGCAATAGTTGCCGGTTGGGGACAGTTGGGCAAAGATAGCCATTTATCAGACAAACTGATGAATATAGTTGTGCCCCAATTGTCACAAGAGTTATGTCAAAGACAATACGATACTTTGGCTGAAGTCAATGATAATATGATCTGTTTTGGAGGCTATGAAAGACACGATACTTGTTATGTATGTTTGATTTTTTATTAATTATAAATTAATAATTAATATTATTTAAAGGGTGATTCTGGCGGTCCTTTAATGGAGAAAATTGACGGCAGGTTTCAAGTGATAGGAATCGTATCTTTTGGTATTCCTTGTGCTATCAAATTATATCCCACTATATATACTAAAGTTTCCAATTATGTCGATTGGATTTATGACAAAATAAATTTTGAAATTAAATAAAAAAGTTATAAATTTGTAATTTAAGACAATTTTTTAAAATATAGTTTAATGGAAATTGTATAATTATAAATATTTATATAATTGTGATTCAATACTTTCCTGGTATTAATACTACCCCATATGAATAATAATAATTTACAGTAATTAATAATTTATATTTTATAATAACTTTATAACTTTATTATTTTATTTTACAAATTAAAGTTGAATACCGTAATATATCTTTTTATTATTTAAACATTACCAACTTATCTATAAATTTAAATTTTTGATTATTGACTATAAGATTAATCAATAACATCAAAATAATTACTATACTGTATAATAAAATAATTTTATATAAAATATTAATATTTAATATATATTTTCTTATCTAATATTAAAATATTCTTTAAAATAAAAACTAAAAGACTTGATTGTTTGTTAAGTGTTTTTTAGTCAACATTTAATTAGTACAAAATGAATGAATGCATGCATTTATAATCTGTAAAATGTAAGTGAAAATGAAAGTTAGTTTTTATAATGTTATTTATGTTATTTAAATATACAATATTATTATTATTTATTAAAAATTTAATTATAAATTACTGGATTAAATTGTGATCATTTTGACCCCTCACGTATGGTTTGCCACCATTTCTGATCCATTCATTTTCAAACTCTTGCTCTAGTATTTGTGCCCCTCTTTTGCTGGTCAGTCGGGTCTCCTCTAAGCTTAGTTCACACATTTGCATGTCGTCCCGTCCTATCATTAATTATTTAAATTTTTGTTTAAATTAATTAAATTTAAAAATTAATGTTAATAAACAAACCGGCTATCAATAAGATGGGCTGCTTTTCGGGATGAATCTCCATTTGGCGAGCAATCCATTGGCCATCAAAGTGTGCGAACCACCAGCCCTTATGACCGTTAGGTGTATTTGGTTTGTTAAACGGTAGCCGAAAATACCGTTGGGAACCGTCATTAATCCCTTTGATACTAATATTAGAGTTGTGGTCGAGTATACTATTGGGTGCTCTTTGTTGTTGTTCACCATTTGTTGTCTTATTTCTATTGGCGCGCGATTTCCACGAGTGATATACTTTAAGCCGTCGATGAAACTCTTCACGACAGGCCTCCAGAAGCTCGATATCACACGAAGTGTTGATTGTGTCTCTCAGGTCTGAATATTTCCATTTCTCTAATTTATATTTCTTGTTGGCCGCCGATTGTCTTTGTTCTATAACCTATTCATATGATGCCATTAATACAATGATATAAATTACAAATTAATATATGGCTTACGGCTGCAGATCTGGGAAGCATTGTCGGTGATGACTGCCAATCATCACTTATAGTTGATTCAGAGTCTTGAGCCAATCGAGCAGCTAATTCATAATCACGTTTTTCCTGTTCAATGCGTTTCAATTCTGTCTCTAAAAGACTTTGATTCTTAATTTGTTTCTCCAGTTCTTCTTTAGCTGCTTTGGCCTCTCTCTCCGCGACAGCAATAGCTTCAAGACGTGCTTTCTCTTCCATTTCAGCCTTTTTTCTCTTATTTTCTTCCAATTCATTGACTTTCCTTTCTTCCTCTTCTCTTTGTTTTCTTTCAATTTCCATCTGTTTTTGTATCTTTAATAGCCTTTCCTGTTCGGCTAACTTTCCTTTCAATTGAGATATATTCCCATTAATTGATTCATTCATTTGTTGGATTTCTCGATCAATTTCTTTTGAATTAATTTTATTATCGTTTCTCAATTTATTCATCAATTGACTCATATCTGAGTCCACTTTTTTCAACAACTTATCGAACATCTCTTTGTCTGAATTTGATGTCAAATGTTTAGACAACTCATGGATTTGCAATAAATGACTTTTTAATTGTTTAACTTTTATGAGTCCTTTGTATCTGTAATTTAATAATTAAAAACATAATGTAATTATAAATTTTCTTTATATTAAAACAACGACACAAAAAAGTTTTTTTTTGTATGAATACTATTAAATAAATCAATTACCTGGGTCTATATTTATTCAGTGCATTCATCATACGAATATTTTTTTGAATTATTATAATTTGTTGCCTTCGATATTGAATTTTGTTTTTTACTAAAAAGGATAAAAAAGATTATTTTAAAAGATATTAATTGCTAATAAATTAGAATTAATTTACAGAAATACTTAAAAAATATTTTTTTATTATACATAATTAGATGACATTAGTATAAAAACTTACATTTGATAACTGATAGACAACACCACTGAGTCTTTTTCCATCGTGACTGAAGAAGCCATTTCTGGACTTTTTCGATGAGTTGTGCCAAATGGTCGGAATCGCTTTTCATGATTTGGTCAAACTCTGCAAACTTTCCGGGACGGAAAAATATTTTAGTCGCACCAAAACGGAAATCCGTTTCATTTAATCCGAGTGCCTTAAACAGAGCCCGACAAAAAAGTCTCGGATCAAGTCGGGCCAATTCGGGCGGCAAAAACTTGGAGTACATAGCGTAGAGATCAGCAAAAGCTGCCCGCGAGGGGTAACCCATTTGCATGAGTTCCAAGACTGATGTCATACCCGAGCACCGCAATTGTGACATTATTTGTGTCCCTTCAAATTGATGGGCCACCATATTTGGATTTGGTTTAATACATCGTATAAAATGAGTTCCCGTTGATCTCAGTTTGGACATCAGTTCCAATAATTGCGATCGAAATTTGCCGCCGACTGACACAAACGCCAATTTGTTAGCCGTTTTAGTCTTAGAGCTGAAGTTATTATTTATAAGACTAAAGTTATTGTTTGCATTTTTGCTGTTTTTGTCGTCGACAGTAAACAGTTGTTTTAGCAGAGGATTGTTGGCCTCAACCATCAGTGCTTCGAGAGAAGCGTGAAGTGCATCGTTGTTCTTGTCTATGAATGCTTGTGTCTCATAACATACAGCACCAGCAAAGTGTCTAATAAGGAAACCTTCGTCGTCGCGAATCTCTCGATGACTCCTGAGTTTTGACTTTCTGGGAACAGCTAATCGGAAATGAGTTCCATTAGTTTTATGTACCGTTTCTGTAAAGTGTACGGTTGATGGCTTCGGTAGTTTTGATTCTTCATCTAATAAGTCAAATATACCGGAGCTCTTGCCCTCCAATAAATCAATACAATCCTGATTATCAATAAATTCAATTTTCTTGAGTCCCAAACCTTCCCTTTCATAAAGAGTTTGTTCCTCTTTTAATATTCTTTCATTGAAAAACTGCTGCAATTTTTCATTGCAGTAATTAATACAAAATTGTTCAAAACTATTGTTCTCGAAATATTCAAAACCGGCGATATCGAGGACACCGATATAATGGGCAGACGTCGAAAATGGTATCGATTTATTGATGGTTTTAACAATAAAATCAAATATCTTGGAGTATATAGCTTTGGCCAACGCATCCCTAGCATTCTGGGCCTCATATACTTTCAATGGCACCATATATATTGTGCCCTATTTTTTGAAAATAATTAATAATATTACGGTAATTATTTTAAACCAAATAATACAAATAAAATCTTACTTTAGAACCGCCTCCCGGTGTTTGCATGACTCGAGACAATAAACTTTGTTGTAATTGATCGCAATCCACACCAATAAGTTCGGCCACCGTTTCCAATGAAGGCCGCGACTGAGCAGCCACTCGACAACCACCTTATAAATGACAAATTTATTTAAATAAACCAATTGTTTGAAATTAAATAATATTAACTTATCTAAAATGCTATCCAATGCAATAAATAATATTTAGATATATAATTATTAATTGATAAATTCTATAGCTATTTATTTTTAAAAATAATAATCGTATTAAATAAAATAATTAAAAAAAACACACCAGATTTGGATGCATTTGAATCTATAACAATAAAAAAATAAGAAAAAACAATTCATGCAATTAATCTAAATTATATATAAGAAGTATTAATTGTTAGCTATGGTTAATAATTTTTTGTTTATATTCATTTAGTATTAGACTAATTAAACTATTAGACTATTACATAATATAATTATAAGAATAACAAATTGTTAGTAAAATTAATAGCATAATTTGTTAATAGGTTTAAAGCATAAATAGTATATAAATTATGAAATAATTTAGTGAAATGCACTTAAGTTAATGGTTTGTTACATTATATTTGTTAATATAATTTTATTAGCAAATAACACGATATTGTTTGTCTAAATTAACGAATTTTAAATATAGCATATAATTTGACATATAATTTATCAATATTTTTAATTTTTATAATTTAAGACAATTTTCAAGACGAATGCATTGGATTGGATTTGACAATGAATTTAATAGATATATAAAAATTGACAAAAATTATGATATATTATAATATTAAAAAAGTCAAACCTTTAGAGTCATCATTGCTTTCCTCGAAAACAATGTTTCCCAGATGTAAGACAGCGGCAACTGTTTGGTAAATAGCCATACGTTGGACATCACTGACACCGAAATGATTGAGTGCACTATCCATTGCTTTAAAGTCTTTGATATCGTCAACAATTGGGTCCTTAAGTGGACCATAGTTTTGGTGTTGAGCTGACTTTCGGTCGGCATTTAGCTGACCGTCCGATTGTTTGCCACTAAAGAATTGAGTGCAACCTCTATTGAGATAATGAAATTTGTCGGGTGAAGACAACTTTAATTTAGCAAATGCTGGCGCCGGTAGTCCAGCACAAAGCTGGTAGAAAATATGGTAATTCCTTTCAGAAACACTTTGACCACATATTCGTGATTTTTCCAACAAATAATGCGAAATATATCCACCAACTACTGTGTGCTACAATTTTGTAAATAATTTTTATTTCAACATTTATTTAAATTACACTTTATAGCTATGATTAAAAAAATTACACTTAAAACTAATTTTTATAATATTAATAATTATTGATAAATTATGTGAAGCAATGAAATATATACAACTTGTTGATTAATAATAGGCATTAAAAATATCTAAAGTCTAAGTTCTGAAATTAAATGCTATTTTTCTTAAATTTAATATACGATCCAAAAGGTATGCAATAATGAAATAAATGTTTACTTTAGCGTTGAAATGAATTTCAATGAATTTTCCAAATCGCGAACTATTATTGTTTCTCATTGTCTTTGCGTTACCGAAGGCCTCCAAAACGGGATTTGCTGTATATTTCAAACATTATTTAAAATTTTATAAATGATATTAAATAATGTTAAAGTAAAAATAATATTATAAATCGTTATTATTTTAGTGACAGAATCATAAGTTAAATTCATTATTATCAAAAATATTTATTTTAAAAATATTTTTATATATAATATAAAAATTTTAATTAAATGATAAATCATTTTAAATTTAAATTTTCAATTGTAATAATTTTAATAATATGCTCTTTATCTATAACACAATAATGATTTAACATTAGATACCTATAATGGTATAAAAATAAAGCATAAATTACCGTCGAGTATGAGTTGTTCAATCTGACCGGACTGTGACCCCCACGACTCGCATAGGTATCGGAGCACATATTTGGTGGACTCTGTCTTTCCGGCGCCACTCTCACCGCTAACAACAATAGATTGACTTTGTTTTGTGGCTCTCATATCACGAAATGCCTTATCAGCTAATGGTTTGCAATATAAAGATCATAATTATGTTATCAAAAGTTTTATTTGAAACAAATTAAAACAATATTCATGATTTAATATGTTTTTTATTACATAATGTAATCATATTCTAGTGATTAATATATATTAATATTTAAGCTATAGTACTGTACTGTAACTTACATATATTGTTATGAAAATACTGTATCTATTTAAGAATTAATAACTTTAAAATAAGAAATTATAATTTAGATTTAATTATAAGTTTTGTTTTATTTTATTAGAATAAGGATAAGAATTATAATAATAAATATTTTTTTATAATAATAAATGGAAATATTAGATTACGTTAAAAATAATATTTATATAATAATTGTTATATTATTTTTGAATACTCTAATTACTGTAAGCAATCTATTATGTTATATAACAACAACAAAAAACAAATTAAGACATTATTCTCATTATTGACAATACGTATTGTAATATAATATAAAACAATAAACTTTTTGTTAAATACATAACAAAAATTTTTGTTGTCTTCCATACCGATAGCAAATACGTGTGGAGACATAGTTCCCAATGATTTTCCCTGATATGACTTCAATGTATTGCTTGAATATAAATCCTTTACTTCAAAGTATGGATTTACAGCTATTAAGATATTAGCCACATATGTCTATTTAGGAAAATTTATTTTTTTAAATATTAAAATTGTCTGTAATTTATAAAAAATTATTTATTTGTTTGAGTCAGTAATTACTAAAACTTTGGATAATATCAATTTACTAAATAATTACTCAATTAGTAAATTGTATTATCAGTTATTTAATTATTGTACTAAAAATATATTGCAATATAATATATTAAAATAAATATAATAAAGTTAAGTATCACTTATAATTTCAATTAATTACAATTACTAATTTAATATTTTTTTAATTAAATCTTTTAAAGACATTTGTAATTTTAAATATATTTATATTTACAATATTTTACTAAAATAATATAAAAGTAAAAATTAAAAAAAGTTTTAGTATTTAAAGTGAAATAAACATAAATGAAAAGTCAATGACTTACATATATTTTATCCTTTTTATATCTCAAGCGAATATTGTTGAGAAGTGTTGCCTCATTGAGAAACATAAGGGCACCTATTAATCAAACAATTTTTTAAAAAATCAATTTTAAATAATTCAAATCAAAAGTTAAATTTTTATAACTTTGAATTTACATAAAATTGTGTGAAAAATATAACTTTTCTCAATATTGTTTAATAATAATAATACTTTTAATAATACTTAAGTTACTAATACTTTTTTTCACAAAAACTGAATTCATTGAGATATTTTTCACACAATTTATTGTATAATTATTTTTGTTTATAACTTATAATAAATCAATTGACTCTTAGTTTTAAACATACAGTTGTCTTCGACTTCTTTGTTGTCGTCTTCTTCTGCGGGAAATACGCCATCATATGTGGCTTGAATTTGCTATGAATTAAGTTATTAATTAATTTAATTATATACTGTATTTTACTATAGTATTAATTATTTAATTAATTATTTTAATACAATTATAAATAAATTACTTTCATAATAACTAAACTAAAGCTATTATTTAAGCAAAAAAATAAAATGTTTGTATAAAACGTTTTATTCTATATTATCAAAACTTTATTTTAAAAATTAATTAATTATTACAAATATATTTATAATTTAATCATTTACTACACTTAATAGTATTTATATAAAAATATACTTGCTATTTGTAATAACATAAAAGTCTATTATAAGTTTTAAAAATAATAAAATTAAAAAATTATCTAATGATTACATATATATTGAAGATATATGAAACTCACTTTATTATTAGATGTCTGAACTGTGGGACCATTGGGTCCGATGTCGACAATGTTTCCCAAAACGTATCCCTCATTTACATCATTGACCCAAACTTTTTGAGATTCCATGTCTTGCTTTCACTTAACGATCACTATATTAATGGTAACAACAATTAAATATTAGGTTTTAATTTCCTTATGAATATTAATATTTTATATTTATATTTATTACAGTATTACACAAAAATATGGAAATGACTTTCAAGAAAATATCTGCAAAATAATATCAAATGAGACCACAAATTAAATAATAAATAACAACAAATTAAATTTGTTAAAAATACAACGATTAGATTTGTATATAATATGTTAGTTATAATAATACTGTTTTTATGCCATAATTACAGATGTTATTAACTATAATTAATAAAATGCAACAATAAAAATAGTATTTTAAATCACAATAAATTCATAAAATTAAATTTAATAACAATTTAAACCTTTTGATCTAAAAACTGACTGAAATGAAGGACAGACAGACAATACATACAGTAATGTATAAGCGTTTTATGCAATGAATATAGACTACAATTACCTGATAAGCAAATTCAATGAATGACTCACAAGAATTTAATTAGTTTTCCTCAAAACTAATATAATAAAAACAATCAGCAAATTGTCTTTAGTTTTATATTTATTGTTTTAAAAAACATGAAAATTATATATCATATAATTTTTTGATATGTCTTATAGGATTTTGATAAGTTCTTATAGGATTTGATACAATGATTATATATATATATATATATAATTTATAAATACCTGGACTATGATGTGTAAATTTATTTGTAATTAAATATTACAACAAAAATCGTGAAAGTATAAGATTTTAAAAATTTTATTGAAACAAATTAATTGCTGAAAAATATTGAATCTCAATATTCACATAAACACAATAATATTAAAAGTGTTTGTCATTGAGACACACAATTGCATACTATTATTGTATTACATTTAAATTTTAATAACTTATTGTTATTGTGTTTAAAGTATTTTTTATGAGTTTCTCTCATAAATACCCGTTTTGTATCAATATTGCAATAGTTGTGTACATAATGTAAATGTGATATTAGTTTACTAGTTATAGTAGTAGAAGTAGTAATGAACAGGTTTTTAAAATAGACGGCCAACACATACAAACACCACATGAAGTCATTTGTAATATATTTGAAATGTCGTCAATCAGTAGTTTCTATGGAAAATATTATATAAAACTTTTGTTTCTCTATAAAAGAGAAGTTTATTTTATCATATATTTATTATATTACTTATATAGAGTTATCCAATAATTTATTAATATCTATAGCAATAAGTAGATATGATATAAAATATGATTATAGTTTTTTACTTTTAATTAATATTTGTTAAAATAGTATGTTATTTAGAGTCATAATATATATATATAAAGGTAAAGATATACATTTGTAATATTTTGTAAAAAAACATTATGTAATTAAAGTCGTAGATACTTATAATTTATAATATTTATTGTATATATATATATATATATATATATATATATATATTCAACATTTCTATTTAGACAAAAATATAATTAAGAAAGATTTGGAAATCTTACAACAGATTGCTTATTATGAAAATACCGAATAAGGAAGATATAAAATAATTATAAATTTTTTATTGATAATAATAATAATAATAATAAATATCTTTGAATAATGAAGTATATTTAACATTCAATTTATGTAACAAAATCAAAGTCAGTCCTATTTATTATAAATAGTTGTAATAATTGCAATATTATGATTAATAATGCTTAAATCATTTTAAGCAATTTTGAAAGCTTTTGTAAAAATTTGCTATAATCAATATAACACTTTAAGATAATAGTTCTGTTTGTATGCGTGCACATTTCATCAACAACCATATTTTAATTCAAATCTAAAAATGTATTGTTATATTTTCAATTATTATTTAAAGTAATGTTATTTCTATTGTAAATTTTAAATGATTATTGAGCTCAGGTAGGTTTTAGGGATAGGTAGGCAGATGCTGTGTAATAACATATTGCTATATTCTATAAGTCACACGGCACCGGGAGGTTAGCTACCTGTGCTAAATTTTTGTAAAATTTCCTCAAATGCAAAAATTTCCAATTTGTGTGAAAATTTTCAATTTTTATTGAAAGCAATGTTATTTCTATGGGAAATTTTAAATGTTTATTTAGCACTGGTAGGTTTTAAGGACAGGTAGGCAGGTGTTGTGTAATTACACTTTGCTATATTGTGTGAGTCTTAGGGCACCGGGAGGTAAGCTACCTGTGCTAAATTTTTGTAAAATTTTCTCAAATGCAAAAATTTTCAATTTGTGTTAAAATTTTCAATTTTTATTAAAATCAATGTTATTTCTATGGAAAATTTTTAATGATTATTGAGCACTGGTAGGTTTTAGGCTCAGGTAGGCTGATGTTGTGGAATTACATTTGGCTATATTATATGAGTCACAAAGCACCGGGAGGTTAGCTACCTGTGCTAAATTTTTGTAAAATTTTTTCAAATGCAAAAATTTTTATAACAATAAAATTATTAATTTTTTTTCAAAATTTTTATATTTTCAAAATTGTACTATTTTACTTATTGCACGAGAAAAAAAAATTATTTATCTATTAATCATTAAATACATAACAATTTTAATAAATCACGTGATTTAATAAATATTTAATAAACGCGTGAATTATAAGTTTAAATATCACTTTGTTTTCATTTTGACTACAAATCTGTTTTCATTTGTTATTTTCATCAATTTTGCTATCATTTGCCTTACCTTCGAGGAATCAATTGGATATTTGGATTTATTTTATAAGATAAGTATACTTAAACTATTTAATTTAGATAAGTTTTTCCTATTCCTACATAACAGATAAAAATATAAGGATTTTTTGAATAACGTATAAACGAGTGTTTACATAATGGAACCAACTCTGGATCAGTTGGAAGCGTCATTGACTGACATTTCACTTACAAACATCAGCCAATCTCCTATGGAATACAATGTGACACCGAGTAAAATAAGAAGATTAATGGAAACAACAGAAGAAAGAGAGAATAGACTTAAAGCCAATAGACAACGCGACACAAATAGAAGGTTGAATGAATCTCAAATGGAAAGAGAACGGAGACTAAAATCCAATCGTTTACGAAATATTGAATGTCGATTGAATGAGACACAAGAAGAAAGAAGTATAAGACTTGCTGCCGAAACTTTACGCGTAACACAAAGACGAATAAATGAAACAGAAGTATTGAGAGGAGTAAGAACTGATGCAGATCGCCAGCGTTATCATCAATTGGGACGCTTTTATAAATCATTTCGAGGAAACGCTAGACCAGAAAGAAACGATTTTGGACGTATGGATCGCAAGTGTCAATACTGTGGAGCCATGTTTTGGGTGATAGAGAAGACACATGGATCAAAAAACGAGCCCAAGTATTCCAAATGTTGTAATAAGGGTCTCATCAGTTTGCCGCCGTTTCAACCAATACCTGATGAACTCGCCAACCTAATGACAAATCCTAATTATAGACATTCATTTTTGAGTAATATACGTGCATACAATTCTAACTTTTGTTTTGTTTCAGTCGGTGCAAAGTTCGAGGAGCCAACGCGTGATGGTTTGTGTGCATTTAAGATTCAAGGAAACATGTATCACCGCATGGGATCAATATTGCCACAACCTGGAGCGAGCCCTCAATTTATGCAATTGTACTTTTACGACACTGAAAACGAATCGAATAACCGAATGCACGTTATGAATGGCCTTAATCAAGACATTGTCAACATTTTAATGCCAATGATGCGCGAAAATAATCCATATGTAAACAACTTGAAGATGACAATTGATCAGTATGATAGCATTGATCCATATGAAATTGATATAAAGATTCTAGCTGAAGGACCTACAATCGATAGAAGAACATATAACGCGCCGACAGCTTCCGATTTTGCTGCAATAATACCGCAAGAAAATCGTAATTGTCCATTGGATATTAGAATTAAATTAAAGTCAAATGAAATTCAAAACATCAACCATAATCACCGTTCGTATGACGCACTTGCATATGCACTGTTGTTTCCTAAAGGTATATATTAAATTAAAATTTAATGATTGTTTAATTTATAATTTTATTTTTATAAAAGGTGATTTTGGTTGGCATTTTTCAGTTAAAAGTTTAAATACGGCACACACAAAGAAAGTAACCGCAATGCAGTACTACAATTATGTGTTTCACTACAGAATAAATTCTCATATCCATCGATGCCGACGTTTATATCAACAGTTTGCAGTCGACTCATGGGTAAAAATAGAAAGCAGTCGTCTTAATTGGATTCGTTTCAATCAACAACAGCTAAGAGCTGCAGATTATCGACACATAAGAGACGCCGTTGATAATGATATACCAACAAATAACATTGGTCAACAATATACAATTTTGCCATCGAGTTTCACTTATGGTCCACGAGCTATGAATCTTAAATATCACGACGCGATGTCAATTGTTTCCCAATATGGAAAGCCATCTTTATTTATTACATTCACATGCAATCCAAAATGGCCTGAAATCACACGAGAATTGGGAATTGGAGAGACAGCTAACGACAGACAAGATCTTATTGTACGAGTGTTTAAACAAAAATGCAAAGAATTGGACGATGACTTAAGAAAGAAACATGTGTTGGGCAAAATCATCGCTCATGTAGATGTTATTGAATACCAGAAACGAGGACTTCCTTATCAACATGGAATTTATTGGTTAGACGAAGCAGATAAACTGAGAAATGTTGACGATTATAACACTGTCGTTTGTGCCGAAATACCGAATGATGATGACATACTAAGAGAAACTATCACTAAATGCATGGTTCATGGACCCTGTGGCCCGGCATATCCTTCCTCACCCTGTATGAAAGATAATATATGTACTAAAGGGTATCCGATGGCATTTGTTGATAAGACTTATTTAAATAAACAAGGATTTGTAAAATACCAAAGAAGAAACAATGGTCAAACAGTTGAGTTAAGAAGAGGTCATGAAATTGTTTCAGCCGATAATAAGTTTATAGTACCATATAATCGAGGTCTTAGCCGCAAATATAATGCCCATATTAACGTTGAAGTTTGCTCTACAATTCAAAGCTGCAAATACCTTTTCAAATATACACATAAAGGACAGGATAAGGCAATGGCAGGATTGACTGAGAAAAACTGTGGTAACGACGAAATAAAGTTATATCAAGACAGTAGATGGGTATCAACAACAGAATCGCTATGGCACATATTTGGCTATGGAATGCACTCAAATACACCGGCTGTTTATCGTCTACCTGTACATCTTGAGAACCGACAGTTTATAACATTTAGAGAAACTACAGATGTTGATCAGTTAACAATACCAAAAGAAACAGAACTTACGCGATGGATGGCATTTAACAATMATAGTTCTGAAGGTAATATTCATATAAGAATATTAATAAATAATTAATTAATTGATATTTATAATAGGTCGTCATCTGTTATAACCCGAGTTTCCTCAACATTATACGTTTCAGAATAATCATTGGAAAAAAAGATTTAGACAACAATTGACACCAACAATCGGAAGAATTTATACAGTTCATCCATCAGAAGGAGAGTTATATTATTTTCGATTGTTGTTATTTCATATTAGTGGTGCAAAATCATATCAAGACATGAGAACGGCAAAAGGACAAGTATATTCAACATTTAAAGCAACCGCTGAAGCATTGGGACTTTTAGAACAAGACAAGGAATGGGATCTATGTCTTAATGAAGCAGTAGTGACACAAAGTGTTAAACAAATTCGCGAATTGTTTGCCACAATTTTAGTATTTTGTCAACCATCAAACCCTAAAAACCTTTGGGAAAAATATAAAACAAGTATGACTGAAGATTATGTTAGAGATGAACAGAGAAGACATGGTGAAGACTACGACATTACCGAACAAATAAATAATATTTTTGTAAATAACGCTTTAAAAGATATTCAATCTCATTTAGAAGCCAACAGCAAATCTTTATCCGATTTTCCTGAAATGCCAACAGTAAATAATAACTTAATAAATGGAACATCAAGACTTATACTTGATGAAATAGAAGACAATCCTGAACTACTACGACCAGAAGTTGAGACAAATGAAGAACTATTAAATGAAGATCAAAAGAAAGCCTATTTAAAAATAATCAATGCCGTTAACAGTAATGCAGAAAAACAGTTTTTTCTCAACGCTGCTGGTGGTACAGGGAAAACATTTTTATTCAATTTGCTTTTAAACAAGTTTAGAAGTGAAGGTCATATAGCACTGGCAGTGGCATCAAGTGGAATAGCTGCCATATTGATGCCTAAAGGTAAAATATATTCTAATATATACTATATTGTATCTAATAATTATATTGTTTAAAGGTAGAACAGCCCATTCACGATTCAAAATCCCCATTCCAATTGATGAATCTTCGAGCTGCAGGATTTCGTGTCAAAGCGATACAGCCGAACTTATACAAAAAGCAAAACTGATTGTATGGGATGAAGTATCAATGGTCAACAAACACATTATCAATGCTATTGACAGAACATTTAAAGACATCATGAAATGTATAGATCAAAGACTGAATACAATACAATTTGGCGGAAAAATAATCGTATTTGCTGGTGATTTTCGACAAGTATTACCAGTTATAAAACACGGAACAGCAAGCGATACGATCGATTCCTGTATCACTCGATCGTACCTCTGGCCATCAATAAAGACATTAAATCTTAGTATCAATCAAAGAGCACTTAATTCTCTCACTAATGATTTTCAAATATTTTCAGATTTTTTGCTATCAATAGGAGAAAGTAAAAGCCCATACAATGAAGAATTCATTAATCTACCCGAAGCTATATGTTCAAAATCCATGTCATTAGAAGATTTTCTTAATGAATTACCATCAATCAATGACTGGACAATTGTTGCCGCAAAGAATGATCATGTAGATGAAATCAATAATATCTTAATGGATAGATTTGAAGGCGATGAAATGGAGTACTTTAGTGCAAACTCATTAGTTGAGAAAGATAATCATGGACAGTTTACTGATGAATTTTTGGCGAGTCTACATTTTTCAGGTTCACTGTAAACTACTATTGAAATTGTCTAAAAATTGATAATTATTAAAATTTTTACGGTTCTTAAAGGTCTTCCTTCTCATAAATTGATTTTGAAGAAAGACTGTCCTGTAATGTTGTTGCGCAATATAAACCCATCTATTGGTCTTTGTAATGGAACAACACTCATCTGCAAAGAATTTCATCGTTTATCCATTGTAGCCGAAATTAAGACAGGAAAGAATCAAGGACGACAAGTAGTTATACCAAGAATAGATTTGATACCATCAGACACGGATTTGCCTTTTCTATTCAAACGAAGACAATTTCCAATAAAGCCAGCCTTTGCAATGACAATCAACAAAAGCCAAGGACAGACATTTAAAAAAGTTGCAATTTATATCCCAGATGGTGTTTTTTCACATGGACAACTCTACGTCGCGTTATCAAGAGTTGGATCTATTGGTGATATTAAAGTATTTGCAGGACTTGGTTGTAACAAGACACGTAACGTTGTATATCGTAATGTGTTTTAAAAACTTATAATAATATATTTATAGATCAGGGGTTGCACATCACCTCATTAAAAAAAGATGTGAGTGGAATGACTGAAAGCCAACCACTTAAAAAAAGGGTGAGGAATAATGAGATCGCCTGCACGAGGTTTCCTTGCTTATACTGAAAGATCTCAAAAAATTATTCTAAATTATATATAATTTTTCATGTACTATAATCACATATGTATTCTACAATATAACAAAAATTAAAAATTGTAATATTGTTAAACTGTTTTAAAGACTTTTCTCTTGATTGCATAAATTTATTTTTATATATATTGTAACTGTACATGTATACACCATTATGCCAAAAAATCATCAATTTTTAATAAGTTTTTTATAGACGTTTTTATGGATAGCATAATTAATTTATACTTAGAGTTTAACTATATATGTAATCTACAATCTAACTAAAAAAATAAATATTCTTATATTGCTTAACAGATTCAAAGACGTTTCTCTTTATTGCGTAAATTTATTTTTACATATATTGTAACTATATATGTATACTATATTATAGCAAAAAATCATTAATTTTTAATAGCGCGAAATTTTTTTATAGACGTTTTTCTGATAAGCATAAATATTCTAAAAGTTAGCAAATTTGCTTTTTATAATCTATTATAATCAGAATTTCAATTGTGGTTTACTATTGTATATGCCTAGCGATAGGTCTCATTATAATGCATTTTGTTGATAAGTCTTATTCTTGGATCGGATTGGAAACAAATTTGGCAGTCATTTTAATTTCATATAAATATTTTTAATTTGTAAGAGAATGCAAGACTATACATGTTACGCGGGTTAAACTAGTAGCTTATTATATAAATAACAATAATATAGAAAATAGTCAATTTAGTTCAACATCTATATGTGCTTAAAAATAAATTATCAAAATAACTAAATAATAAAATTATTTATTCAGAGCAGATAACTATATAATATAGACCATAAATTTTGTTTATTTTGTAAACAATTATTAGGTAATTGTTTACTTCAAATTTATTGATAAATTCAATATTTTATTGTAATATTGTACGTCAAATTAAATATATAATTTGTCTGAAATATATGATATATAATTTGCATAAATTATTATCACTATATAACACTTAAAAAATATTTTTACATTAATTACAGCATATTAATAAAATTCTAACTAATTTAAATTGGATTAAATAAACCAGTTAAGAATGCTAGAAAGCATTACTAGAAAAAAAACTTTGACGACATAAATTATTATCCTCGCAAATTAATTGTCAATTAATTTTAGTCATACTGTCAAATGATTTAGTATGACAAAATAAACAGCTAAAATCATACTTTTGCCGCAATTTTTTGAAAAAAAATAATTTTGATCTATAATATTATATCTTATTTTTGATGCTATATACAATTCTAAACGTTTTAAAAAAAATTTTGACTTTGGCCGCCATTTTCTCTATGTTCCCGAAGAGATATCAAAATTTTAATGCATATTTCTTATGCTTGTTTCGATGCTTTATTCAAATCTATACTTTTTATAAATTTTCTTTACTTTGGCCGCCATTTTGTCTATGTTCCCGAAGAGATATCAAAATTTAGATGCAACTTTTTTATACATTATTAGTATTCCTCTAACCGAATCTGAAGTCAGAATTTAAAAATTCGCAAAAAAATATGCTACACACAGACAGACACACACAAAAAGGCTCGTATAGATTTCAGAAAACAAAACTTTTTGAAAGTTTTTTTTGAAAATAATACTAAAACAGTTGGTTATTATTAAAATAAATTAAAGTATATATCAATAACATTTAGTTTAAAAATTTAATAAAGTATTTTTATGTTATTATTTTATTTAATTAAATTTAAACTATATATTATTAATATAATAATAATCAGTAAAAAAGAGTCAATTTGGTTAACAATATGTTGTATATATGATTATGTGAACTGAACTTCAATTGTTTGTCAGTGCAAAAACAATACAAAATTTTTTTATTATTATTTTATTGCAAGATTTTTTCGTAATTACAATTTATTAAAATCTTTCAATTGTTACATAAATTAATTAACAAGTATTTTAGTTTTATATACTGTATAAAAAATATTATTACAAGACAAAAATAATCAATTATTTTAATTTAGTATATTAAATAATAAAAAAATAGATTAATCATTTATTGTAAAAATTAGATTAAAATTTATAAAACATTTATAATAAATTATTAACAAAATATAAATAATATTATAAATTTAATTTATGTTCTACTGTAAGATATTTATATAAAGTTTATATTTATATTGAAAAATAGAGTTATAAACTATTACTAAAATTATCATTTATAATAATATCATAGCATAATAATAAAAAGTGTTTTCTAGACCTCCGTTAGTACAGTAATATTTTCATTAGTATTGTTATATTGCCGTAAGCAGATTGTGTCGAGACATAACTTACAATATTTATTACATTGTATATCAATAATAAATAATGGCATTTGATTGTCATGAATATGATGGCACAGTCAGCGATACATAAAATCTAGTTATTTGAAAATGTTTTTTTTGTGAATTAAAACACTTAAATTATGAAAGTAGACATTGAATTACACAACTTAAAAAAACAATGCCTGTATTAATCATATTTATAATACAAAACTACTTTTTATTAATAGTTTGATTAAATTGTATTTCATTTGACTAAAGAAGACAATAAACACTAAAACTTTATGCTTTAAACAAACTAATTGTTGACTATATTTATAAAGTTATTGCTTATTCGTATGAATTTAAGCTAATTGTTAAAATTTAAAAAATATATATAATAACAATAATACTGAATCTTTTATTAATACTAAGTAAAACATCATTAAATATGATTATAATTATTTGGCAAAAATTTATATTAAAAGCAATAAATGATAAAAACTAAAATCTTTATTAATAATTTTATTGTTGTTTAACTATAAGATAGATGTGATAAGTTCATAAACTAATTTATTTTAATTATTGAATAATTACAAAAAAACTATCCATTATTTATGTTTTAAAAAATAAAAACACTATTGTTGACTTACATAATAATTCATTTCACTAATTAAGTTTAACAATTGCTATATATTTTAATAAAGATTTAGAAATAATTATAAGTTTGTTTTACATTTTTTACTTGTTTACCAAAATATAATTTATATATATATTAGGTATATTTATATTGTAGTAATTTCAATGAACTAAATCTTACTTTAAAATAAATTTTGAATTATATCACTAAAGATAAATGTTTCAAATTTTAATACACTTAATCTAATTAACAAATTATATATCATATAATATATGTTTTGTCAAAAATATTTGAATTCAAAATTCATATTTTCAATCATTTCATATATTATTTATAGTTCAGTTAAAAGTCATTTATCAACTAATTATATGCTTTAATAAACAAAAATAGTTTTATGAGTTTATTTTCTAATTATATTTTTAACTTTTTAAAATTAAATTGTTTATATTATATATATATATATATATATATATATATAACCCAATTTTCTAATGGTCTGCAAACTACTGTCTCACTGTTTCTCAGCACTAATTAAACAAAAAGATATATTTTATATATAAATATAGCATTAAAAATAAATGACATCTAAAAAACTAACTGTTTATTTGTCACAAAAAATAGTAAATGCAATGATTATAATAGGTTTATAAGTTATACAATAGATTATTACTATTATCTTATTTTTCACTCTCATTTTGACTGGTTTCGTGTTTTTATTGTATTTATTACTAATTATATTTATTATATTGAAAATGTCTTGTAGTTGTTTTTTAAAAACTGCTTTAATATATTGCTTGAATTTTTAATTTTTTTTTTTTGAATGATAATAATAGATATTAAGTAAGTATTTATTAATGATATTAATATATTAATAGTAATAAATAATAAATAATTAGAGTAAATAATAATAATAACAATAATTGTCTCTAATTGTAAATCATTATATTCTTCAATTAATGTCATGCATAAAATTTATTACTAAATTTAGATATACATTGACTGTATTTCCTTTTATAAATATATTTAAAATGTTTATACTTAATCACATTTTTGAGTATTGTTAGAGTATGGAAACGTAGATAAATAACTATGTGCTATTGTAAGTATAAATAGCTATAATTTATATAATGAGTATTAAATTAAATTTATATTAATTATGGATGCAGAATACAATTTTGGATATTTTGCCAACATTTTTAATTATTTATAATAAACTCTTTAATCATTAGTAACTAACTATTAAATATATCAAATATTTAGTAATAATTAAGACTGATTAAAAATATCTGATTATTTTTTAATATTATGTATAATTTAATATATTTTACAACTAAATAGTAACTATCAGATATTATATGAATCCTAAGTTTTCATACTCTAATCATTATATATATTTATAAAAATATATTATAATACATTATAATAATGTATGTATGTGTCTACATAATAATGATAAATTGAATAAAGTTTTTATATTTAAACTCCAGCATAAAAATAATATATTCAATTCAATATATTAAAATAATTACAAAAATAACTTCAATTAACTTTTACTATATAAAAAATATAATGTTTTTATGATTTAAACTTAGAGTAAATAAATACAGATAAAATACATAACATTTACTTTTTTAAGTATATTAAAATGTTTAATGAAATATATCATTTTAAAATTAAATAATAACTAATTTATCAATAAATTTATTTTCATTATAAAAAAATTAATGATTAATGATTAATATAACTTTTTATTCTTAAACTTAATTACAAAAATTATATATATTTTCTTTATTTATGAACAGTTGATAAATAGTTTTCATAAGCCGACAATATTTTTGGGCTATTCTTTTAATATAAACGGATATAATAACAAAAAAAGTATTTTTATAAACTACAGCATACATACAGTATTTAATACAACAATAAAAAAATACCTGTAATGGGCTTGAAATACGTCGACTACACAATAATAAAGATCATATTTATATATTATTAAATAATATCAACAAAAAATAGTTTTTAATTTACAATATAATGTATATGAAGTTCAATGTACTTATCCAATGCTGTTCTTAACCTTTATAATACACATAACAATATTAGTATTTTATTATTATTTAATATATGGTTTTGAAATGTGAGAAACTCCACGAAAAACTGGTCTATTAGTAGACATCAATGCAATAACCAAAAAACACACCAACACTTTGGTGATGAATATTAATTTATAAATTATTTTGAATGAAATATTTTTTTAAAAGTTATAAATTTATTAAATTTAAAATAAGAAAAATAATTAAGTACCTGATTCAATGTAAGTAATTTGCAATTATATTTTACGGATCAGTCATATATCATTGTTTGACAATTGTTGTAGTTTTTTGTTGTTCATAAAATCCTGTATTTTGTGGCTTATAATAAACGATAATTTAAATGCAGTTATTTTATATATAATAAAAACAAATTTTTAAAATTAAAACTGAATTATTGTATATGCAATACAAATACAATAAAAATGTAATAAAACTTAGTATTATGTATATTATAAAAATACAAAACTTAAAAACACTTTATGCTTCTATAAACATTATAACAACATATTCAATGTAAACTTATTATACAATATAATCGTTATTATTATTATATATATATATATATACATGAAATTTCAGTTCAATAAATCCGTGTTTTTGTTACAATTAAAACATCTTAAAGAAAATGTAAAACTATTTCAACAAATAAAAAACAACAAAAAAATAAATATCACAAAAAGAAAATTTTTTGTTTTATACAAATAAGTTTATGAGAGTACAACAACAATAATTTTACAAAATAAAAAAAATATATTATTATTTTTTTAGTTATAAAAAATCTTGATATCTATATAAAATTATCAACATTTAAAATATGGTCACAGCTGTCACACACATAAAAAATTTATAACTATTAACAAATAATAGTATACTATAATCGTGAATTTAATATTTAATTGAAACAAGGTTATTTAAATCACTGACTCCTACATAAAAATAAACAATAAATAAAATATAAATATCAACTTTTTTTTATTAAAACTTTTCTCAAATATCAAATGATTACAGTTGTTATATATATTAGTTAAATATCAATTTATTTCATTGACAGTAGCACTGGTAGCCAAAACAAACTCAAAAAACACAACAGTTTCAGTCGAGTGGTTGTAGTCAGGAAGTGTACCCCTATTGCTGGAAACACAACGGTTACCTCACCGTAGCTAAAGTCCAGGTGTATGACTATGTATGAGTCAGGTAAGGGACTGTTGTTTAAGGTTTGGGTCTGTTATCACAACTGAATCCAACAAAGTTTGAGTACAATAACACATTACCACTGACTATACACACCATAACAGGAGTTATGTCATTGAAAATAGTGGCAAATCCTTCGTTTGCTGTTTGCCTTCACTACTCTCTCTCTCTCTCTCTCTCTCTCTCTCTCTCGTCTTGTGTTTAACAACTAGTGGTTTAAAAGTATAGACTGAGAGGCGGTTACAGCCAGAGATGTAGAGTAGACTATGCTTTGTATAATTAGCTAGTGATGGAAAATTCAGTATAATTTAGTATTCAAATGAAAAATTTTTAATAATCAAATAAATTATTGGATTTATTATTTTATAGTTAAAAATAAATATTATTAATAATAATAATACTAACAAAAAATAAATTTTTGCTAAATTTAATAAAATTAGTAAAAATATAATTATTGTCATTTATTTTACTATAAATTTATTTTAGTTAAAATTTAAGATAAATACTACTAATTGAAATTAATAAATTAGTAGTTAGTTTTTAAAATTTAATTATATATAGACTCTTCACTTATCTATTCTATAATAGATTATTATAGAGTATAAGGTTAAGTAATAAAGAAATTTGATGTTATCATAGATCATAATACAAATATTCAATATTGAATTTTCAATTTTTAAAGTAAGTTACATACTTATAAGTTAGTACAGTATAAACCAAATATAGTTATATAATAATTTTCATTGAATATGTAAGTTAAGGTTAAAGATTAAACTTAAATTTATTATCTTATATTGTCTTACAGTAATTGCATGTCTTGTTCCGTAAAATCCCTGAGTTTTATAATAATTTATAAATTATATCCATAATTTTGACTTAAGTTATATTCCTAATTATATTTATTCAAAATATTAATTTATAATTTCTAAGAATATATAGCATTGTATTGAAGTTTAATTTTAAATCCAATTAGTTATTACATAAAAAAAATTATATACTAATTGTTTGAATTCTGAATAACAAAATTTAAATGACTTCAGAGCGTTAATGTTTTGCATAATATATTTGCAAATACTGTACAAAAATCAAACTATAATCTATAATAAATTATATTCTAATAAAATAATCTATTATTATAATAAATTTAAAACAGTATTATAAATTATAACTTATAATACTATAGTATTGTTAGTAATCTAATTTATTAATAATTCTAATAAATTTATGAATTAAATGTTAATAATCAAAGTTTTACTTTTTGATTTTATTGTTAATTTATACATTGTATTGAATATTTATTATAATTAAAAATTGTATTTTATTATCAATAAAGATTATTATTACTAAAGTTTACTTAACTATTATTTGCAAAAGTTTAATGTAAAATAAACAAAATTATTATAAAGTTATTTATAAAACAAAATTAAAATTTACTTAAATATATCATATAATGCTATTGGATTAATAATTAGTAGAGCATTCAATCTAAGTTTTCTATCAGATATCAGTGAATATGTTTAAAATAATTACACAAAAATAAGCCTTTATTAAAAAAATATTGCTTTAAGTAATTCCTATACTTTTTAAAAATCGTTATCAATTTTTTCATAATTATTTTAATCACAGAAACTATTTGCTCTAACTATTGTAAAATTATTATTTTATACATTTATTATATGCATTTACGCAAAAGTTTAATTTTAGTAAGTAATAGAAGTAGTAATTTTAAATGAAATAAACTAAAACATATCTTTAGTGATATATTTTTAATGTTTGTCTTATACTATACGTATAAAATTTATATTATAAATTTAGACATATTTAGATGTAATTGATATACAGACAGTTAAAATATCAAATCAAAAAATTGAGGTATTAGTTGATTACAAATCAAACACATAAAAATTTGTGGATTATTTTTATATGATAATAAATCAACAATATAATTTTTATGATATAACCCTCTAGTTGTCTTTAATGCTATCATGAAAGATTTTTGAATTTAACTTTTTTTTACGTAGTGTATAGTAATGTTAATCAAATACATTACTGATTCAAAAATAAACTTTTAATAATAAAATTATTTTTTACCCCTTTATACTATTTTGTTAATTGTTAATATTATAACCTATTTTCATTTTGACGTTTTACATTTTATCAATCATATTTTTCTTGTTTAATAAAGTAAGTTTGACAATACATTAGACAATACATTACGGTAATTGTGAATAAAATTTTCATAATCGGTTTTAAGTCCTAATTTAAAAGACAAGGCTTTCTGACATAACTTTTCCTAATTACCGGTACATCATATCTTATTTACTGGTAATGATAAAATAAATAATTAAAATTAATTATGAAAATATTCAATTTTTATTTATATAATTAAATAATATTTTGAAAACATATTAACTTAAGGTATATTTAAAAACTTATACATTATTTATATTTCATTATTCTCTGAGTATTTCTTTAACTTTTTAATAACTTTCACTTCTTTATCAGTTCTTAAATAACTTTCTATTTCTGTGTCTGAAATCTCTTCATCAGATTTATTGCTATCAAAAGATATCTTCTGACTATTTGTCTCAGAAGTATTTGGAAGTCTTATTTTACGTTTAAAGACATCACACCATTCATTAGATTTAACATTAGGGTTGTCTTCCTTTCCAAATGTCATACCATTTGCCGCTAAATTTTGTTTAATTTGTTGATTATAATCAAAAACAAGTGATGATTGATAAGTGAGGACTTCATCTAAAACAGTAGAAATGTTATACTTATTGACATTTCTTTTATGTTTTGGCAGATGTGTAGCCAACCGTTCAATAGCTTTGACCAGTTCGGTGACTCTTTCACTAGTTGTGTGTTTATATTCAATACCAATGAGTCTGCAATAGTCCGTTAATTTGACTTTTCGGCGTTCATATTGTTTGATTGATTTCCAGGCCAGATATGAAGCCGCATATATTATATGACACGGCGTACGGCCCTCTATTAGCCAACATTCCCGAAGTAATTGTAAAATTTTACATACTTTCTCCTCTAATATCTATAGAATATATAAAATTAATAATTAAATTAATAAACACAAAAAATAACAAAAACCTTTCTTTCGGTGCTATCGAAAGTGGCCTCACTTAAGGTCACGGGAACTAATGACTCGATAGACATCTGTTGTGGTCTGTGTTGAGGAAATTTGGTGATCACTTGATTGTATACTTTATTGAAATCACTGGAAGCGCATCCAATTGTGTTACACATGTGACCAATAGTTACGGGATTATGCTCTTTAAGTAGTGTTAAATACACACAAATGGCTGCTAATATCGATTTGGTTGACTTGGATGCACATCGAAACACATCCGCCACTAATTCCTTGTAAATTGTCACCGATTGGTCTCTGATATTAGATCCAAGAGAAAGATTTGACACCAAAACATTCACTAAATTGGTGGCTATTTTCTTATGTGTCGGAAACCTATTGGGAAACCGCCGATTACTCGACACATAGCTCTTACTTTCATCGCTGCGACAGTTTATAGTGAGAGCTTGTGTCGGGTCGTCCCGAAGTTGACTTTCGCGGCTAAATAGTTGTCCACAATTTATACAAACCAATAGTCCATCTTCAGACTGGATGTTAGATTTAATACATAATTTATTTTTACACCGTTTTGTCGAAACTGTGGTCACTTCTTCATGTTTAGTGTCTTCGCAATTGTCATCTTCGAGATTATCAATGATATCATCACTCGATGTGTCCATTGTTTACATCAATCAAATGCAACACAACTTTCAMATCAAATCACATGACAAACACTGACGTAATGTTAAAGCAATCAAACAATGTATTCATTGAAATCATATTTTGGATAACTTTTTATTGTTTATTGCATTTCATTTGCAATCAATGTTTTTATAATTAATTAATTAATTAATTGAAATAATATTATTATAATTGCATTCATTAAAAGTCTTTTGTTAAACAAATTTAATTTATTGTAAAATATTTATTTTGCTGTTATGTTAACTGAATGCCGGTTTCATAACATAACTTGTAATACTGTATACATATAAATGTTAGTTTTATTACTTAATTATTAGTTACAAATTAGTTAAGTTTGGTTTGGTTAGCAAGTGTTTGGGTGGGGAGGGGTTTGGGTTTGGGTTTGGGTTTGGGTTTGGGTTTAGGTTTGTGTCAAATGTTTTTTTCTACTGTTTGTCTATAATCTAGATTTGTTTGAATTAAAATTATTGTTTAAGTGATGAGTTGGTCACAACTATTGGCAATAAATTAATTTTTTAATTATTGATTTCACTTATCTTTTACTAAATTATTTAAAGTTTTCTATTTGTATGACTAAACTTAAATTACTGTACATTTAATACATGTATTAAATAAAGTTTTATATTTTTAATTGTTATACATTTGTTACAAATTTATAGTTATATTAATACTTGAAATGCATATCAATGTGAATATTGTGTTAATGTATGCAAAACACCACAAATGTATAGGTTTTTCGTGAGGCGCGCCAACCATACAGTGATTACGTTACGGTTGTGAGGGGTTAGGGATTTGATTTGAATTAACATTGAATTGTATGTAATTTGCAATAAATGGGAACAAAGTTAATGTATTAATACGTAACTGTAATAAGTGTCGAACGGATGAAGTGATTCCTTTCGAGAACATTCTAGAARTCTATGAAAAGCATTGCAAATGCGTTGTGAAGACTATGAAAGCCATTGCTATATAAGACAGTCATTGACTTAAAGCTTATATTTATTGAATCATTGATTTTATTATCAATTGTGTGATTCGTTTAACTCATTTSAAGTCAATTAAAGRCATTTAAATAACTCATTCATCAGAATCTACTTATAAATAGGTATTGAATTGAATTGTCATTACATGTGATCAACAAATTGATTATTGATTACAATTAAACCAATTATTAGTTTAACAGCAATTAGTTGTGAGCTTAGGGTCGAAGGAATCGGTGTTTTACTACACTATTGTATATTATAATTGAAACTAAATTAAGACATAATATTTAGTGAATTATATTTTGATAAATTTGGGTTTAATTGTATTATAAATTAAAGTGATTTTTGTTTAACAGTTATAATTGATAATTGATGTCATCTGCAGACACAAAATGGCTAATAAAATAGCGGCAATTGGTATAGATTTAGGGACGACCTATTCATGTGTGGGTGTGTTTCAACACGGAAAGGTAGAAATCATTGCCAATGATCAGGGAAACAGAACCACACCTTCATATGTGGCCTTCACTGACACCGAGAGATTGATCGGCGATGCGGCTAAAAATCAAGTGGCAATGAATCCGTCAAACACTGTGTTTGACGCCAAACGACTAATTGGTCGCCGATTTGATGATTCGTCAGTTCAGTCAGATATGAAGCACTGGCCCTTTGATGTGATCCAAGAGGGCGGCAAACCTAAGATCAGAGTTGATTACAAAGGCGAAAGTAAAACATTCTTTCCCGAAGAGATCTCATCCATGGTTTTAGTCAAAATGAAAGAGATTGCAGAGGCATATTTGGGCGCAACAATTACTAATGCTGTCGTCACAGTTCCCGCTTATTTCAATGACAGTCAACGTCAGGCCACTAAAGATGCCGGAACTATCTCTGGCCTCAATGTATTACGTATTATCAATGAGCCGACCGCTGCTGCTATCGCTTACGGTTTGGATAAGAAAGGACAGGGAGAACGAAATGTCCTTATTTTCGACTTAGGCGGCGGTACTTTCGATGTCTCAATACTTACCATCGAAGACGGCATTTTTGAAGTCAAATCGACCGCTGGAGACACTCATTTGGGTGGCGAAGACTTTGATAATCGTATGGTTAATCATTTTGTTCAAGAATTTAAAAGAAAGCATAAGAAGGACTTAGCGGTCAATAAGAGAGCTCTTCGTCGTCTTAGAACTTCATGCGAACGCGCGAAGAGAACACTTTCGTCATCAACTCAGGCCTCCATTGAAATCGACTCTCTCTTTGAAGGCATTGACTTCTACTCAACGATAACAAGAGCCAGATTTGAAGAGTTGAACGCCGATCTGTTCCGCGGAACACTTGATCCGGTAGAGAAAGCTTTACGCGACGCTAAGCTCGACAAGGCTCAGGTCCACGACATTGTTCTGGTTGGCGGATCCACTCGTATTCCTAAAATTCAAAAATTACTTCAAGATTTCTTTAATGGCAAAGAATTAAATAAAAGCATTAATCCCGATGAAGCCGTGGCCTACGGTGCAGCTGTTCAGGCGGCCATTCTTAACGGTGACAAGAGTGAAGCCGTTCAGGATCTCTTACTATTGGATGTAACGCCTTTGTCATTGGGTATTGAAACCGCTGGTGGAGTGATGACTGCTCTGATTAAACGTAACACAACGATCCCCACCCGACAGACTCAAACGTTTACCACTTATTCAGACAATCAGCCGGGAGTGTTGATTCAGGTCTATGAGGGCGAGCGAGCCATGACTAAAGACAATAATCTTTTGGGCAAATTTGAGTTGACTGGTATTCCTCCCGCACCAAGAGGTGTGCCTCAAATTGAAGTCACATTTGATATCGACGCCAACGGTATTCTCAATGTCTCGGCCGCAGACAAGAGCACTGGAAAAGAAAATAAGATCACTATTACCAATGATAAGGGAAGACTCTCTAAGGAGGACATCGAACGTATGGTCAAAGAGGCCGAATCATACAAAGATGAGGACGACAAACAAAAAGACAGAATTTCTGCCAAAAATGCACTCGAATCGTATGCTTTCAATATTAAGTCAACCATTGAAGACGAGAAACTCAAAGATAAGATCAGTGAAGACGACAAGACTAAGGTATTGGACAAAGTGAATGATATTATCAAATGGCTCGACACTAACCAATTGGCCGAAAAAGAAGAGTTTGAACACAAACAGAAAGAATTGGAGGGTATATGCAATCCCATCATTACTAAGCTTTACCAGAGCGCTGGTGGAGCTGCCGGTGGATTTCCTGGAGGTTTCCCCGGAGCACCAGGAGGTGGTGCACCCGGAGCTGGTGCTGGAGCAGGAGCCGCACCGGGAACTGGATCAGGTAGTGGGCCTACAATTGAAGAGGTCGACTAAATTTTACTGTAAATTATATTTACAAAAAAATATTAGAAAACTGTTTTAAGTTATTTTAATTTGTAAATTAATTTTTATTAATATTAAACATACTTTGATTTTTTGTATTAAATTATTTGGTAACAAATTAAAAATGTAATTAATTTATAATTAAAAGTCGAACAAATAAATAATTTTTATTATAATAATTATAATAAAAAAATTGTTTTAAAATTTGATTACTTATTGATTTGTGAGTTGAAAATACTGTAATGAAAATATTTAAAACTATTACAGTAATATTAGTTTACATTATTTAGTAATAGTTTTTATTGCAGTAATTATTTTGTAAATGTGAAGCACTTTTTTAAACTATTGCTTCAATTATACAGTAGACTAAAGTTGTTAAACAATTGCCATATCTATTGCGAGACATTATTATTGGTACCACTGTTTGATGGAAAAGGATAATCAATACAATGAAGAACCAAATGGTGTGGTCATGACTAAGACTATGCGACGAATTAGATTCAACAAAAAGGATACCACTTATGGACAAATGGTTATACCGATTGATATAACACATCAATTGAAAAGTTGTCCGAAAATTTACAACATTTTTGTGGAAACCAATGGATCAGTAGAGTTGATAATTAAAAAGAAGATGATTGTCAATAACCAATCGGTTTCTCAATCGTCGGATACAAAAAATGGTAAAAAGATATAGATTTTTATATAACTATAATTATAATAAAAGCATTTTTTTGTTTACATATTATTTGTACCGTAATATTGTAATACTTTAATAACTATAATACAGTATTACAGTATTTACAATATATGATATATTATGTATTTAACTTATTATGAAATAAAAGATTTTTCTACCAATTATCATTTAAAAACTTATTTTAATTATCAATTTCATCGATAGTAAGAAATTTATCATTATTTTTGTCCATTTGTTTAAATTCTTTGGCTATTCTGTGACCTTTGGTTCTAATAATGTCTTTGTATTTCTTCAACTCATTAAAGCTAACTTTGCTGTCGGCGTTGGTGTCCATCTTATTAAATACATTGATGACATCTAATGAGACGTCGGATTCATCGGTTAGTGACAACAGTGTTTGGTAGAGATATTTTTTAGTACATCCATAAGCTATATTCCAACACCAGAGACTGGAGTCACCCTTACGGCACCCGCCATCACAATTGCAGCCAACAATGTTACACTTCCCGACACCACAATAGATGGTCGCTTCCGTACAATCATAGCATCTCTCGACAGACTTTGAGCCCTCTTTACATATGAGAGGCACGTGACAGCACTCACCACTTAAGAGGTCTATTTGTATCAACAGTATTACCGATAATAAAACACAACAATTAAGATTAACATTCATTACTTATTATCAAAAATGAAAAATAAACATTTTTTTAAAATTCAAATATTAAAACATTTTAGTTTAAATGACTATAATTTTATAATAAACTGTTAGAAATTTGAAGGAAACAGTTTGGTAGTCAAAAGGATATTACGATAAATAACAAAATATAATATATAATAATAATAATAATAATAATACTTGCTTTGATAGTTTACCTAATTTTGTAATTATTTTAACAAATAATATTATAGATTATTAGAAACATACTGTAACTTATGTCTATAACTTATATAACATACAGTACTTACCATAAGTTTATAAGTCATGTAAAAGCAAATTTAATATAYTCTATAAATAGATTCTATAATACAATACACGTATATAAATGAAAGCAAATTCTTTAATAAATAGATTTTTAAAATATTATATTTGATTTTATAGTTTCAATATTATTTGATATTTTATGTCAAAAGCATTATTGATAATTAGTTTTCTTAAATTATTTTAAATAAAATAAAATTTATATAATAATAAATTGGATGAAATTCATTTAAAATAATATCTTCTTTCTACAATATATACTATATATTATATAGCATAGCTCTCTCTCTCTCTCTCTCTCTCTCTCTCTCTCTCTCTCTCTCTCTCTCTCTCTCTCTCTCTCTCTCTCTCTCTCTCTCTCTCTCTCTCTTTTGTAATATTACTGTAAATACATTGCATTACGTTATTATTGTTTATATTTTACAAGACATGTGTTGTTATTATTAATATTAAGATATTTTGAATGCAATGCAAACAACTAAACATCAATTGAATGTCAGTTTAGTTCAGATGATATGATTGTCTGTTATCGACTATTATCGACCAAACTTTGGTCAACGCATTGTATCGCGAAATATGTGCCGAAACTGACCACAACATGTCCGCTATATTACATGCAAAAACCGTTGTCATCGACAGCCACACGTGTTGGTCACCAAACAGAACCTACACTTCAAGACATAAAACGTCGAGCTCTTCAGCGAATAAATGCCGACAAAGATATCATTAGTGATCGCGACAGCAAAGAAGTACTACTTTTTGAGAGCACAAGACATGAGTTTTACCGAAATGTATCTCTTTTTGGATTATTTCAATATGTCTTATGGGTTATCATCGGTAATGTTGTCCTTTACTGGTATGTCAACGAATACAAGAAGTTGGCAGATGTTAGTCATATCTTTTACGATCCATTGATGAAATGGTCAGAAAAGATAAAGCAGGCGTTTTTGGCCAACAAGTACTATATGTTGGCCACTATATCATTGACAACAATCGGTCACTTAGCTATAACAATGTCTATGTTGTTGAGCACCCGATTTATCTGGAAAATTATTTTAAGACCTAAATCTAATGGCATCGATACCATCCGTTTTTATTGTTACTCTGTATATGGTTTGCCCAACAATGTCCACACTCACGAGTTTCTAGTGAATAACATGTCCGCACTCAGACCCAGACTTAATAAGCATATGTTTATACCATTTCAAGTAAAAGGATTTCTATTTAAGTTTCGGTGCGATACTAACGGCCACTTCGGACAGCCATTACTTTTTGATGAGACGGTCGGTGTTTACCGTAAATTATAATTTAGGATAAATTAAATTTTGTAAAAAATATATAATTAAACTTTTAATCTATTATTATCGGTAGTTAATAAAATGTTATTTTATAAATTAGATTTTTATGCTCTGAATAAAACTGCTTTATTTAATTTAGTTGACTATACTATTATCAAAATTTTATTAAATTTTAACATTTTTGAAAGTTATCATCACTTTTGCAAAATTTTGATGATTTTTGTTTTCTTACACTATTATAAAGTAAAAATATCTGTTATTAGTGATAAATTTATGTTAATTTTAATTAATTTTATACTTAATATCTTTATGGCTCATATAGTTAACATAAACGCTTTCTACGTTATGATAAGCCCTTAAACCAAACGTATGAATCGTTGCTTTTGTAATGGTTCCCAATTCTTGTTCAGTCGTAAGCAAATGAGTATAAGTGATATCATTTTCTCCCAAATTTACTGTTATTTTAACTGTTGTTTCCCGTTGACCATAAAGTTTAATATAAATTATTAATCCCATCGTTGGCTTATAATTAAATATAACCTTTTTATAGTAGTATTAARTAAACATTTAGTTGACATCAAAAATAGATTTACGGAATTATATATTTTGTTGATATTTACCTTAATTTGATAATGAAATAAACAATAAGGATATGTATCACTTGTTTTAATAAACAACTCATTTGATAGTTGTGTTTCATTAAGTCTATTATTAGTAATGTAATACTCGAAGTCAAACTCCATGGGTTGTCCCTCATCGGCACACTTTCCTCTCTCAAAGTCTTGATAGTGTTGGCACTTGTATGCTATGAATTGACATCCATTGTCAGGCTTTACAATAAGATATTTATAAACCATTTCATGGGAACAAAATATGATGTGTTCGATGTCCACTAATTTTGATGAATTTATTAAATATATATTTATATAAATTATTTATTAAACAAACCAATAATATTTCCGTTTTCATCGGCTATTGTATGAAGTAATGTACAATGAGGTTGTTTATTACCTGATAAAATAAATAAATAAATAAATAACCATGGTAGTATTTCAATAATAAATAGATACCATTATTAATTCTAAAATCGTAATGTCCTAATGGATCGACATTTCCAAGAAATCCCAAAACACTTATATCTATAAAGAAAAAGTTTTGCTAATTATTTGTTTTCTCGACACTTAATGCTTAATACAGACGTCCGTTATATACAATTCCTGATGAAGTATGTGTACAAACCACTAGACTGGCATCTGTTTTCTCCAAACGTGATGTTCCTGTCCCGAACCCAGGACCTGCCGGATCTAATCCCGAAATTTGTTGCAATTTGTTTGGTGCCAATACCTTACCCGCAAATCCACATACGTGTGCACCCAAACTATGACCGATGCAATGCATGTCATCGAGTTTGGCATTTGTGGCTTCAACTAAACGTTTCATAAAATATGCTATTATTTGACCGACAATTTGTGTTTGATTGACCACTTGAAAGTAATTGATATTTACTGCCACTTTAGACCAGTCGACTGCTATTACATTAAATAGATTTTTTTCTTTTGATAGAAAAACTTCAGTTAAATTCTATAATTTCAATAATTATATAATTAATTTATTTTAATTTGAAAACAAAAACAATGTTTTATTTTGTTGTGTTTGAATTACTTTCATCCATAGATCACCAAATGTGTCGGTTTTATTGAAACCACTGAGCCATCCGTGGACTAAAAATTTGGTTTTCAATGATTGATTAAATGCCGATCTTTTGATTGTAATGTAACTTTCATTATATGAAAATATATAGGGTTTCGCTATATTTATTGGTGTAAACACATTGAAATCTATGTCCCAATCAATCGGAAAGCCTTTTAAATAAAATATAATATTTAAATAATATATAGTTTTATTTATATTTTAAATTAAGTTTACTTTTAATTTTCAAATAGTTATTAACATTTGTAGTTGACATTTTTACATTATCTCTCTATAAAAAAATATAAATTTACACAAAAACTAAATGTATAGATAATTCTTACGTTAATATTAAGGATTAATGTAATTAACAAAACAAAGTTTGATTTTAACATTATCAAATAGTTTAACAATTTTTAATTAAATTAAATTAACAAACATTTATTCACTTTATTAATAAAATTAAACATTTATATTCAATTGTCTATTTTTATATAAAACTTAATTACTATATACTTTTTATTTATGATATGAAAGTTATAAAATTTTATTGTAAAATAATTTAATTAATTTAAAACATTCGTAAATTAATAATTACTGTCAATGTCCAGAGTTCATGTGAGAAATTATTGATAATAGATTTAATATTTATTTATTTATTAATAATTTAATTTAATATTAAAATCTATAATTAACAAGTTAGTTATTTTATTAAAAAATTTAATATTTATAAAGTTCAATATAACAATTTTTCATTTAAAATACAATAAATATATTAATGGGGTAATAAACTATTAAAAATGCAAAACAATTAAAAAGCAAAATTATCTACACTAGTGTTTTGAAATTTATATTGTAGTAAATTAATAAAACAATTATTGGTTGTTTGAGTTACTGTAAGTGTAACCAACATATATAAAATCGTATTAGTTATTCAATAACATATTATTGAGTATTAATATTTAAACTATTCATATAATAGATTATTCTATAAATTTAATCGACATTTAATAAAATGATTAAATGTTTAGCTTATCAATAGTTGTCACATGAAAAATACTTTTAGACAATTTAATTATTAACAACTATATGTAAATAAATAATAATAAATTTAGTTAAAACATATATTAATTTACAATTATCACATAACAGTTGATATTTTTACAAAAACAAACTAATTTTAAGAAAATAAAAATTTTTGATAATCTGATAATAATAAAAAATTATAACATATTGATTATCTCTATTAAGATTATCTATAATTAATGAATCTTATCATTCAAATTTTAAATTTATAATTATAGGGGTGATTCACATTTTACGTTCTCATTTTTAAGAAATCGACCCCTATATTGACAATTGTTCACATGTAGGCATTTTTAAAAATTACTTTCACATATCCCTAACCCCACTCCTCTTAAGAAATAAAATAAAATGATGGCTTTGAGTTTGACATCAATTAATTTAAACAGTAAAATAATATTTTAAATGCTATTTTATAAAATTATTTTCACTTTTAAAATATTCCAAAAACTGAAAATAAAACTCTATTCAAAAGTCATATATTTACTTAAACCATTTTTATCAAAAGATTAATAAAATAAAAAGATAACAATTAATCCCTTAAATTATTTAAATGCGAACATTATTAAGTTCACGACCGATACATTTTTAAGTTTTACGACCCAATGTATTAGGACGTCTCTA